AAGATTAAAGGTGACCTGGAACCATAAGCTATAGTACCCCAAACCATAACTCCAACAGTGTGATGAACATGTCTTTCAACAAAAAACTGTGGATTCCTCCTTTCACCACGTCGCCTTCTAACCCTGGCACGTGCATGCCTAAACAAAATCGAGACTCGTCACTAAAGACAATACTGTTCCATTCCTGATCCCAGAGTGACCGTTGTCTGCACCACTCAAGGCGATTACGTCGGCGTTCTCGCGTTAAAGGGAGGACCCAGTGTGGCCGGTATGAAAACAAGCCAAACCTTCTCATTCGTCGGTAAGCACTTCGCATCCCAATAGGTCTTCCGTGTTCTGCAAACCATTCATTTGCAATGGACCTGGTAGTGGAGAAACGGTCCCTTAAAAACCGGAATGTCCAACTGATAAGGCCGAAAATTTGTTCACTTGTTATTTTCAGTAAGATAAATACATTCACCAACTTTTATTAAAATAAAACCATTTAACACATTGACTGCGAACTGGGATGAGGATACCCACCTCAGAAACTGAAATACTTTTTTCCTTTTTTTGGAAGCCGGCAGAGAGCGTCGAAAGACGCCGTTCGCCTCCCACCACAGGAGCGGAGGGCGTCTTTTGACGCTGTTCGCACTGAACGTGTTAAACTGGGTGTTCGGATTTATATGTCACTTAGTATATATGGAATTTCACTCAAATCCATATACATCACTCATTTGTTAATTAGAATAAAAAAAGGATTTTATTGTGTTACGTCATCGTTAGTATAGAAGTATTTTCTGTTTTCCTTTACCCGCGCACAAGGGCCACCCTTCTGCGGGCTCTTCATTTATTTGTCCTCTATATAATTCTATGTGTACTGGTTGTGTATTTAGAAGACAAATAAATATTACTATTACTATTAATCCAATCCACAGCTCTGCTGATGACAGCACTCTACATGCAGGAATTCAGAGGGACAAGCCGATCTCTGCCGCTGAGCTGGGAAAAAGACGACTAGCGACGACTTCCTCTCTGACAAGAGACCTGGAGGCTATCACTGCTTGGGGACGCAACAATCTTGTACAGTTCAATACTTTCAAAACACAGTACTGTACTTTGACGAATAAAAGTATCCTAGCGCTCATCCGGTTTCGATGGATGGCCGGGTTCTGCCAAAGAGTCATTATGCTTTTCGGCTGGTCGGAGTCCAGATCACCGAGGATCTGCTCTGGCACGAACACATCTTGTCAATAGCAGCAGCTGCTGGGAAAAAGCTAGGCTATTTGTTTAGGGCTAAGAATTACTGTTCTCCGCATGACCTTCTCACTCTATACAAGGCCCAGATAAGGCCTAGCCTCGAGTATTGCTCACACGTTTGGGGAGCTGCCGCCCCGACTACATTATCCATGCTCGATGCTGTCCAGAGAAGGGCGGCCCGACTGATATATGACTCTTCTGTAACAGACGGTCTCGGGACTCTTTCGCACCGGCGGGCCGTCGGCGATCTAGCTCTTTTCTACCGCTACACTAACATGCTTTGCTCCTCAGAGCTCTCTTCCAAGATGCCACCGCGCGATGTGCCTGCCAGGCAGACCCGTCTGACTTTGGCGTCCCATCCTAACCGTGTCGAAATTCGTACATGCAGAACTGGCCGATACGACCGCTCCTTTGTCCCGAGAGTGTCGAGATTGTGGAACAATCTACAAGAGGAAGTTTTTCCCAGTTCTACTAACCTTAGGCAGTTCAAAAATTGTATTAACAAAATTTCTTTGGGATCATCATAGCAGCCGCGGTGTTTCGGCATTTAGGCTTCTATATAAAACAACATACAGGTATGCAAGCGACAAACTTTATTGCCTTTGTCAACATCTTCCAATACATTCCTTATTATGACTACATCAGTTTTTATTTCTGTTCTGTTTGTATTTGTACTGGAAGGGTTGTTCTAAAAATAAAATCAATAATACTTTGATATACTTTATAAAAAAATGCGCACCCCGTATAATGAAGATTGGACGATGTCATTCTGCAAAAGTGTAAATATCGATCTAATTTGAATTGTTTTTCAGAAAAGTAGCATTGTTGCAATAATATTATTATCATTTTTGATACCGGATGGCTTATATTGGTTCTGCCATTTTGAGAATACAGCAATTCTGATACATTAGCGTTCAGCAATCCAAAAAATCAAAAATACAAATTTTCAGATCACTCAGTTGACTTCTAGCCTTTCATCAAACTTTTTGAGAATCGACTTCACTATAAATTGACAGGAGTTGCATTGGAACAAGACTCATTTCTCAAAAACGACTCATTTGAACAAAATGAAGAATTATGCATTTTCAAGCTAAAGGTGTTTTCTAAAAATTTAATTTTGAAGCCCTATCATAGAGGCTGTATCAGCAATATTTGGTTAGTTCTAGCCCGTCCCTCACAATCTATATGTAGCTGATTTCAACGAGGATTATCATATGCAAACCTCACTGGTCACCATCCTGTCTTTATATTGCGCATTATCGCTAAAAAATTATTAAAAAGAAGGAATTTCCAGTGACGGGTAGAGTATATCCCCGGGTAAGCTCTCTCACTCCAAGGTGGGTAGAGTCTCCCAAACCCCCGCTATTTTGAATCTGTTGAAAGTTTTTTAAAAACCGGAAGAGATCATAACGATTTGCTGTATCAGTACTAAATAGTAAGAACCACACTATCAATTTATAGTCTTGCACTTCAGCAAGCGTGAAGTGAACTATTAGCACACCAGCCTACTTAGTCAACAAGCCGAAATTTAATCGTTTTTTTTACATTATATACCTATATATTTCTGCGTAGTAATCCTGACAGTCTTACATCTAAACCGAATTGACTTAAACCATATTGATACGCGAACGTAAAGAACAGCAATAGGTAAGTGTTTGGAGTGTGTCAAGGTCGTGAAGCTGAACTTGGAGCGGTTAATATCTCCTCACTGTTCCGGTTTTCCCCATACTGCAAAATGGCAGGGATAGCAATCTGATCGCCATAATTGTCACATTAGAACTACGTATAATTCACTTAATGTCTACTTGTAGTTGCAGTATGTGTTGCCTAAATGTCAAGATAATTGCGCTATGTGATGTAATGTAATGCTTCAGAGATAGTACCATCGGAGTCCATTCATATAGCTTCTATGATCTAAGCTATGGGTTCTATACTGTAGGTAGTTATGATAGTCCTCCCTAGATGGCGTTCACATCGAGTACGCGTGGTGTGGGCCAGCGTCTAGCTAGTGAACAAGTGATAAGCATGGCGATCATACCGACTTTTTTACATAAACGGGTTCCGAATTATGAAAGCTTCTGGGTTTACCGTATTCTCAAATATGTCTGCTCTGCCTGTTAGTGGAAAAATTTGCTGAAAGCTGCATTGCTTTAATATTCAGATCCGTTTTCGACCTAAATAAGAAAAATAAATGCCGAATAGTTGAGCAGGCAGTGTTTTTGAATGTTCACGAAGAGGACAATTCAAAAAAAATTTTTTTTGGAGTGCTTTATGTTGCTTTTACAGATATGCTTCAAATTGTACTTTTTATAATAACGATGATCGAATATTCTTTGGTTGTAGTTTTTGCTTTAGATTTGTTGATTTCAAATGCATGCAATGGAAGAGATTTATTTTACAAAAAGGGTCAAAGGTAGCAGTACTACAGTATGTTACCATGTCTACTTAATATCTCTGTAAGGAGCACGAACGCAACACTGGCTCACTGTTACTCCCATGAAGGGAATGGTATTTTTTTGTTTTTTTCGTAGAGATCAATCAATGTATCGATTTTTTTTTGTTTTGTAGAGCTTAATAGACGAGTTTATGGCCAGCGATTGAAATCCAATTTAGTTATACTTGTGCGGTTAATTCCTGGGTAATTAACGATAACTTTCTTCAGAAGAGAAGAGTCTTTGTGAGTACTGCCTTATGATTAACACTAAGTTTTTTAATTTGCGGACTGCACTTGTTTCTCCACTATTCTTACAAAAAATCTGAAACCGTGATACATACAACAAAACCAGACATAACCAGAAACCCCAAAACAACAAAAAAGTTTAATGTGCTCTTAAAATTTTAAAGCATAAATCGCCACAAGAAACTCGCATACACACTGAAGTAGTGCTTTTAGATAAAATCCATCTATATTGAGCTGGATTCATTCCTCAGTTGTAAGAACTCTGCTTGAAACAAGTTTATATGATTTCGAAGCAACGAGAATATGTACTTGAAATCTATATCAAAGAACGACCTTGTCAAGCATTGTACTTATACTATACAATACCTTGGAAAGATACAAACAGCGATAAGCGAAGTATACTTATAGAGAATGCCAGCTTTCAAAATGTAGTTCACCAGACTCTGACAATGTCGCAGGACAAATCCAGTACATTCTAGAAAATAATTTGGAAGAAGTATACCCAAATGCACACACACATAACAATCAAAATCATGTTCAAAGTTCCAGTCAACTCATCTTCTGTTGAAAGACTTTTATTCAAAGCTAACGTTGAATAAGACCACGATAGCTAAGAGAAACTCTCTGCTCTTTCAATTATAACAACTGAAGGAAATAGTAGCTGTTGCTAGTTATGAAACAATTCAGTGAGGCTAGAAGCCAAAAGGATCATCTATTCTAAATTGTGTTTCTTTTGTCAGCACATTCAATTTAACGTTTTTTTTTTACTGGGAAATAGGACAGTCTCGCAAAGCTGTTATTGACGATTTCCATTTACAGAGGAGTCCATATACCACTGACGTCGTACTGTGTATGAGAGAGAAGAACGAGAAGCGTTCAATACAAATGCTAGAAAGAAATAGAAGCACCACGTTGCCTAGCAGCCCGAGTGCCGCATGTCTCTCGTGACCATTACGACGTCAGTGGTATTTGGATTTCCCTGTATGGTTTAGCGCCGTCACTGAAACTCGTGGTAACATGCTGTAGCTTGTTCGGTTGTAATGTGTATTCGGAAACTTCATATACGCTTTCTTTTTTACAGACGCACAGGAAAAATCAAGAAAACCCTCCTCAAGTCCATACAACGATGGTTACTTACTGGAGTATTTGGACTACGACTGAACTAATATCAAACTTGTAGCAATGTAGTTTCATATCATTTTGAAATATACATAGTATTATTGGTGCGCATTTTAGTTTTGTTAAATAAATGTATTTTTCTTACTTCTTGATAGTTATCTATTCTATTTAAATATATTTGTGCGAGTTATGATTCTTCGTATAAGCACTGCATTGCCGAGACTATAAAGTATAACATTTAGCTGAATTTGAGAACTAACTGCTGCAACCAGTAATGCAAGGGATCCATTATTGGACACATGAATAATACCAGTCTCTTCAGACGTATTTCAGGCCATTTTCTAATGCCTATGATTGGTGACAAAGGAAAATTAGCATTAAACTGCAACTTGGAAGTACTGCAAATTTTTTTATGAACATCCGTAAGTTAAGATGATACTAATATGGAAATATGGAGAAAAATGCAACAGAAATTCATCGATTTCGCAGTCAAGGAACGATATTCAAACCGGATGGAACGGGCAGTGGTTTATACTTTGAAGTTGAGTCATTAATTTTCAGATAATGATTGTAGAAGGAAGATAAACCAAAATATGTGTGTAAAGATAGAAAAAAAATTAAAAAAAAAGTTTTACCTTGTTTTATAAAGTATCCTCCCGACAAGTATTTCAGTGCGGACCTGTATTTGATCGTGCGGTCTTTGTACTACATTAACAAAGGCACGGGGGGTTGGTTGCACTCGATTGGGAAACCGATCCGCATAAACATGTGCCATTTTTTATTTCGTTTGAGCCACGCAGCAAACACCACTATTCACTCACGCGTTACCGACTGACACATTGACTGAATAAAAACATCGTGATCAGCGTTTCAAATTCTTTCGCTTTTTTGTTTTCGATGCGATGAACCGATAAGGCGGATTATATACGTTGTTGCCAAACACGAGCACATAATATTATTATTGAGACAGAGCGGTACTCAAACTTCTAAAGGGCTATAACTTTGTTACTTTAATTTTACCACAAAAATGTTAAAGGAAAAAACATTTCTTTTGATCAGATCTACTCACTGTTAAAATAAATGACTCAACTTCACACCCTGCATAAAAGGGGGTCCCGAAGGTACATAATACTGATCACATTATAGGCGAATTTGACAATTTTTAGGTAAATTGTTACGACGACGGGACGGATATTGATCCTAAAATAACGCCGCTTCGTAGACACAGATACTATAATTACATTACAGGTAGAAAAAATTGAACAAATATAGTTTTAGTATATTTTTATTTAGAAATACTGTTTTGTACATATTTGTACTTAGAAATGATTTTGTGTTGAGCCATTGAGGTTAGAAAATCATTTTCTTATGTTCTAGGCTCTGCATATATTTCCTGTTAAGGTATTTCGCATATTAGAACAGATTGTAGAATCTAGGATAGGCATTTTGCTGATTAATCAACCCTTAGATCTTATAGGGTGTCGCATATGACGAAAGGCTCATTTCTAGCCTCAATAACTCAAAAAAAGTTTCAGTTCCAGGCGTGGACGCTAATTCTTAAAAAATGTTTAAAATTATAAGGAAAATCTCAAAATACAATAATAAAAAGGATTTTCCATTAAAAAATGTTTGGTCTGGCTTCAATTTGGGCTACCCTGTATATCAGAAAATATTTTGTTAATTATAATTTAACTTTTTTTTCAATTTCTTATAATCTATGATGCCCTGTACAACGAGGCTAGGAGTTTTCAAACTTTTAAATTCTCTTTTTTCAAAACTTACCTTTTGACAAATTACTTTTCATTTATTACGATCATAACTCAAATATAGGGACTCAAGGAGATTTCGCAAAGGCTTTAGCAATAAGAACAATATTCTTAATTTTCATTTTCTCCATCATCAACTCCGGGTCGCTCGAAAATTTCCAATTCATTTTCAACGTTTTCGTCATCAAGGATTTTGGTCTCCACATCTTCAAGTGTTTCGGAGTCTAAAGAGATCGCTCTACATTTTTGTATGTACTGAAAATTCACGAAACTATTTGCCCCCTCTAAAAATGAAGTGTCAGGTCCTTCGTAAAAGGAGATCTCTAAGGGGCAAACAATGTTTTTTGCACTATTTTTCATATACCATTTCTATGGGTATAAGGATTTAGGGGCAAAATCAGACTCTTTCCAATAATTTTTGCTGCCCGCCACTCCTAAATTCAATTCGGAACATTGTAAAATTGGCAACTTTTTTACATTTACGATTTCGATAATATTGTAATTATGAGAGACAGACAGACCCCTCCGCTGAAATCTATGGGCCCCACCCGAACTCAACTTCTATTATGTATGTATCGAAGAAAGAGACTAAACCAAAACAGTGATCATCGCGTGATTAGTGCGATATATTTCAATAGAGAGGGAGCATAACTGTTATTGGGCAGAATAGGTCGAGCTCTTACACAAAACCAATAACAAACCAGAGGGTGGAGTGGGAGACGATACGACCGTGAATGCAGGCTGTCCCGGTAATTGGCCAGATTTTTTTTATTATTATTATGTGTTTATTAGATTTGTCAGTTTAATTTCGTAGAACTCAAAATGTCTGTTACGGATACAGCTGATGAAGTTGTTGATATAAGCTAACAAATAATTATCAACATTTATAAATACGATATGCAAGGAAGGAGTGACTCAAGCGTTCAGGATATTATTTGCAAAGCTGATATCCACATATTTTTCAATACTGGTAAGACGAGGAATTTTAACTGAAATTATATTTAACTTTTGTTTTTGTGCATGCTTAAACTATATCGAGATAAGAAATCAAGCAATCATTTTGTTGAGCTTTTAATGCTTTCAATAGGAGCGGTTTTAAGTATCCAAAATGAAGATGGATTTGTGTCCAATGCTTTTGGGCATTTGAATCCAAAGAAACGGGAGACTACCATGAAGAAATGGATGGAGCCTCGTTCGAAAATTGGTTCTCAAATACCCTACCGAAGCTTGAAGATGATTCGGTTAAAGTATTAGATAATGCTTCATCCCACACGAGAAAATTCCAACAACGTCAGCAAAAAAATCAGAAATTCAAGGGTGGCTTAAGAATAAAAAGATTGATTATGATGATACAACGGTTAAGGAAGAATTGTTAAAAATTTTCAAGACGCCTAAAAATAAATATAACCTGAACATAATTGATGAAATGGGCAAAAAACAAAATACAACTGTTTTACGACTGCCTTCTTACCATCGTGAGCTCAATCCGATTGAGCTCATTTGGGCAGACATAAAAAAATATGTTGCCGCAGAAAATGAATGTTTTAAATTTTCTGACTTTAAAAATATTTTTCATGATGCTATACAAAGAATAACACCGAATAAGTGGGAAAATGTATCAGCATGTAAAAGAAAAGGTCCAACCTAAAATGTGGGAATTAGACAGTATCATTGATACTCACGTTGCCCCTTCAAACATAAATCTTGATGACAGTGGGAGTTCCACGGCCTGAGATCTGGAATGATTTTCATTTTCAAATATATCGCTGGCTTAGAGTTATAAGGTTCTAAGTTACAATATAAGCTTTTATACCTGCTGGATAAAAAGTAGTTAGCAAGAAGGCTGCTATTAGCTTAATGAAAATTATTGGGAAAAGATTGTTGCAAAAAACGGAAACACATAGAACTTTGATTCTTAAATTTTATTTATTTTAAAGAAGAACATATAACTTGAAAAATGTAATATCAAAAATAATAATATCAATTCATAACATGTAATAATATATAGTCAACGCCAAACAAAGTGGCGTGCACGTCATCACGATAAAAATTCCCCGACCTAATGCCTAGGTTTCTATCACAAACAATTGCTCTATTGCAGTTTCATATTAATGTGATATATAAATTGTAAAATGGTCATTACTCTCTTATTATGGTTAATAGTCATATAAACATTGTTATTAAAATATCACATAAGTTGCTTTCTGATAAATTTAGACGCATTATGCGAAATAAAATGTTTTGCAAACGCTCCAATCACTTATCGACATGTAAACGCACTAAACCGATTTCGCAGCGTTGACACATTGTCACCTTGAAACTTATTTAAACTGGGAACTGACATTTGTATTAATTTTGACACTGAATCAATTTGTGGCATTTCAAATCTTTATAAATCCTTTGGCCCCGCATACTGTAAATCAACAACTGTTTGTTTCAAAACAAAATTATTCATTTTACGAGTAGATAAAGGCAATTTTGGTATATAAAGATGCCCAAACAGTTAAATAGTCGGTGTAAGGAACTCGTGGCCTCGTTAATGCACTACTTTGAGCAAGAAAGGGACAACAACGGGCCTTTGTTGCCTTTAAATGCTGTTCAAGATGTAGGTTACTAATAATTATATGTAATGTATATTAATAATAGTGAAATTTTATTTCATTTTTTGTAGCGTGTTGCTGCTGCTTTAAAAATTAGTTTAAGGACAGTTAGTCGTATTTCCGAGGGTGTGAAAAGTGATGCAAATTTAGAATCGCCCAAGAAAAAGCGGAGTTATATTAAACGTGTAACCAACACAGCGACATTGGATACAAGTGCCATTCGAGAAGTGATCTATAATATGTATCACAAAAGTAAGATCTTATTATAATAACTTATCAGAAATTCGCATTAATTTGTTAACTAAATTATAATGTCATATTACACATGGTTTCAGAAGAACAAGTTACGATATAAACTTTATGGTCTCGATTAAGAGATAAGGCATTATTTGATGGTAGTGCCACGTCTTTAAGGCGGTTGCTTAGAGATCTTGGATTTAAGTGGCTTAAGGACAATCCGCGACGAGGGCTCATGGAACTACCAAGTATAGCTTTGAAAAGGGTGGAATTTCTAAGGCAATACAATCAAGCCAAGGTTGAGGCCTTATACCAGTTTGTCTTCCTCGATGAAACTTGGATATTTCAAAGTGGGACCATAGGTCGCTCTTGGCAAAATGGAAACCAAAAAAGCGTGAAAGCTATTAAAACAGATGGTAAAAGGTATGTACTTTTACACAATTTGCACTATAAAATTTAAAACTAATATATTTTAGATACATTATATTACATGCTGGAAATGAAAATGGGTTTATTGAGGGTAGTGAAGCGATATTTTCTTCGAAAACAAAATTGAGCGATTACCATGGTGAGATGAACCAGGACAATTTTTTGAAATGGTTTCAACATCAGTTATTAGAAAAATTGGAGAGTCCATCTATGATTATACTGGATAACGCCCCTTATCACAGCATGATATTGAACAAAGTGCCCAACAATGCATGGACAAAAAAAAATATCCAAGACTGGTTGACAAATCAAAACATACCATTTTTAAACACAATGTTTAAAACAGAGCTATTGAGTATTGTTGCTCGGTACATAATGCTTCTTAATTATATATATTTTGGTCGACAGTTTATATTTCTTTTGTTTATTCCTATTCTTAAAATAACTGCTTTTTTAGAAACAAACCACCTAAAATATACGTGATTGATGAATTGGCGGAACAACATGGGCACAAAGTTCTTCGTCTGCCTCCTTACCATTGTATATTTAACCCTATTGAGTTAATTTGGGGCATAGCAAAAGGTTACTATAACAGACATATTGGTAGAGATGGTAACAGTGAAAAAGACTGTTTGGATATGTGGAACGAGGCTCTACAAACGGTTACCCCAGACATGTGGAAAAATAGTGTTCGACATACTGAGCAAGAAATTTTTAAATGGTATGAAAGAGAACGAATTTTTGATCGACCAGACATCGAACCTTTAATAATCAACTTTGAGAGTGATGAAGATTCAGATTCAGACAGCGCTGAAGAAAGAAACTCCGACTAACTTTATTGTACAGAAAAAGCTTACACCAGTAGCTTACCTAATTTTAGAATGCATTTTTCTGTATGAATTCTGTAAAATAAATACCATGCATAAAATTTGGAGGACCCCATTTGGATTTTTATTCAGTACCTTTAAGCTATCAATTAAATATGGTAGTTTCATAGTGTCATCTGATCAATAATTGTCATACTTAATGATTATGCAAGTACAGATCTATAATTTTATTATACTATTATTTTTGTTCTCATTTGAGGTTAATATTGCTTATAAACCTAGATATGTAAATAATAAATTTTATTATTTTACAAAAAGTTTGGCAACAATGTAAATTTTTCAACACACCCACCTTGATGACGTGCACGCCACTTTGTTTGGCGTTGACTATAGGTTTGAATTTTATACTTGTCATAGAAGTGTGATAGCATTTATTTACAAAAATACCAAATTGTCACATAGAACCTTATAACTCTAAGCCAGCGATATGTATTTCCGGTTTCAGAAGTAAAATGTCTGTGTAATAAATTTTTTTATAATATTTAGTATATGTTATTATGTATTCAAATCTTTTTTCTTTCAACTCCACTATTCATTTTTTAGTCTAATATTAAACTTAACTGTTTGCACACTGACGTCTCTGTTCAAGCGGTGGTTAGGTATACTTGTATGCATATGCAATTATCGTTTTAATGTGTCAAGACATTTTTTTAAAAGCCTGCTTTATAAATGCGCCTTACGACACATTTCGAGTATAATTTCTTGATAAAACACTTCTACTAAAAACAACAATAGACAGTTGTTTTCTTTTTGGTCATGACAGTTAAATTAAAAAAATATATTAATTCCAAGCTTTACGTTTGGACCATATACATGCCTGCAATAATTTTGCATACTTTTTGATCGTGTCGTAGAACCAGAAATCATTTATTCTTAGTACGGCCCTGTAACGTGCTCGGCGTTCTGGAGCTCGATCACGTAGAGTATACATGAATATGTTTAGGTTTGGTCTCTTTCTTCGATGGATACATAATATATAAGCTACTGGGAACAGGTGCAGTCTCCACGATGGGTGAAGACTAACTGATGTTGTCTTTGCTTCCTGATTACTCTAAATAAATTAAAACAATGTTTGATCAAATTTTTATTGAATTTTCTCTAAATCAACCCAAATGTTTCCTTCTGTAGACGTCAAGATGCCAGCTTTACTGAATACGAGTGGAGTCTTTGTTTTCTTATTTAAGGTGAACCTGAATCGTCGCAGTAGAGTACATAGGCCTAGCTTTGTTTGCAGCAAGCCAAATCGACTACCTGCAACAACAAGTGATTTCGATCAGAGTATCTTCATGATATCATCGGTAAATGGTAAAAGCGCTTCCTCGAAGTTGACCAAGCTAGCCAGGTAGAGGAGTTCAGGCAAGAATTCAAAAAATAGTTCAGTCTATAGCTAAGATATTCTGATCTGTCGCGTGCAAACATGTGCAATTGTGATTTGGGGGTTAATGAAACTGCTCTTAGTTTATCTTTCGCTCTTAGACCGAAGCTCCTGAAATACGTATAATACCTACCTATACATATCCTGGGTCCATCACCAAATGGTAACCAGGTGAAGCTCGGTCTAGTTGCTTTGTTCTCTTCGCTAAACCGTTCTGGATCAAACTTATCTGGATCAGGATAGAGCTCTGGATCATAATGTATACCTAGCACAGGTATTATTACTTTAGTACCTTCATCTATTGTAACGTCTGTATCTGGGATATTATACGTCTTGTTACAGGTCCTGAATAGAAACTGTAGTGCCGGATACTTCCTCAGGGTCTCTAAAAAATACGAGAATAAGCATCTCATTCATGTAGATTCCAATTGGAACTTTGAACTTGTAAAGACTAACAAAGAGTGACAAAGGTTACCATAAACAACTTTATCCATATAAGTCATCTCCATTAATGCTTCGTAAGTCAGCTTTCCTCCATGCTTTTCCAAAGTAAGCTCAATTTCTTCTCTGACCTGCTGTTGAATTTCTGGATGGAGGGACAGTTCATAGCATGCAAAACTTATTGCACTAGATGATGTCTCAAAACCTGTGGAGTAAGAAATAATAATAATGAACGTCTTTATCCGCCAAACATCATCAAATAAACTTACATTTATATACACACATCTGTTCTTCCACTTATCCCTTTTAAATCGTATTAAATTCAACGCATAATGAAAATATAACCGCCCTAACAATAACATATACACTAATCAAAAATAATAATAAATATCAAACTTGCATTGTCCATAGAATAATCAGTGTTGTGTCCGTCTGACATTGCTCTTGAATTTTGCAATATCGAATTTTTTAATTTCTTTCGAAAAACTATACATTTTGTAGATGAAGATTCGTTTAAAAAATTCACGGTGAAACCTAGGAGGAGACAGTAGTTCCTCAAATAAAAGATATTACCTTGCAATGCATTCAAATTGAACGTTACCGTTGAAAGGGTGTAGCAAGTAGCATATCGTGATTATTTCATAAGACGACTTTTGACGTTAGGTGAATCAGTACCTGCGACAAAAAACAGGAAACATTGGGCCACAATATCGTCTATGTTCAGCGGATCTTCTCCTTCTGTCAGTTCGATTAGTAGCTGCATAAAATCTTTTCTCACAACGTTGTTATCCTTTCTATAATTTACTGTCGCTTTTACCTGCAACCATACAAATAACATATGTTGGTTGGTGTATACACGCTTCTGTGGGCGTTGATGGTCAAGGGTGCTAACTATTCTTATGCCCGAGATACCTACAAAATTTGATCCACATCCCTTTAAAGGCTAAATAAAAGTGGGCATAAGAATAAATAAATTGATCATGCTGTATTACATCGTGTCGGTTTTTGAAGCCATTGGAATAATTAAACATGGATAGTTCTCGTTGACGAGGTCTGTGAATATTAAGTGATGAGAATGGCAACGTAGCGTTCGATCTGGCAACATTGGAGGCATCGGGCTTGGAAGGGAGACAGGCTAACATGTGATCCACCTTCAGTACAGATTTGAACTCGCTCGAGTCATTTAGTTGTATCGGAGTTCCAGCACTGCTGAGGAGTGGAAAAACCGGAAGTTATTTTTATATAAAATTGTAATTACCTATATTTGAACGAAAAATTCAAAAAAAGTCAGTCTCATCGCTTAATTTACAGATGTCGTAGGTATAATTTGAGGATAGCGGGAACTTATGTTACTTTACCGCCCTGGAACAAAAATGGAGTCGGTGGGCTGAAGATTAGGTTTAAGGCCCCGATTTTAGATCAAACAGTTTAGCACTTGTAACGGTAGAAATCTACGTATATCAATACATTGATACTTTTAACTGTTCGCAAAAGAAATATTTCTTATGGCCCGTACCTTACGTCTTTTGTGAAGATTGTGCTGATTGATTTGTTTCTCTTCAAATATTAACCCAAATATAAGTTAGGATATCCATCTTAACCCATGTAACAGTTGGTGCAGAGAATGAAGACAAATATTTTAAGGCCTATTTGGTTTGTGTGTAATGTCTAGGTTCGTAATCTAACGTACCATTCTGTTGTAAAAGCTACTGATGCTGCGATTCTGGGAATGGAAGTTTGTCAGTTTGAGTAGGGAATGTGGCACGAAAAACGGTAGGAACTGCCTGACAGTACCCTCGAAATCCAGCTGGTCTGTTACTTTCCTACCATTCTTCCTGAAATCGTCGTTTGGATCCTTCAAACTGTTGCACTCTATGCCGAAGGCACACGAGCCTAAAATAATAAAAGTTATTAACCTTAGACACATCGTATACGTGGTTATACCAATTCGCCTTGTACACAATGAAGTGCTTCCCTTATTTCGAACAACAGAGACAGACCAGAGAGACAGCTAACAGGGTAATGCAAAACACTAGAGTAAGGCATCGGGTTAACGCGGTATATACAGTGACGTTACCAGTCGTATTTTGATATTGAAGGATCCAGAGTTCTGGATACATATGAGCACCAAAGCTTCAAACCTACCAATCACATCAGTAGTAAATCGACTCATGATGTCCTTAATGTCAACTGGATTGTTCAATGAAGTTTCATCGAGCACCTTGGTGAGCTCGTCGGTGCACGATGCTATCAATTGGAACATCATTTTCATCTTTCCAGATGTGAATGTCGGTGATAACTTGGCCCTATCCCTTTTCCATTTTGGTCCATCCAGGTTGAACAGGTGGAATGACAGATTATCCTAAAAATCATCGAGATCAGAACATATTTTAGGCTTAGGCCGCACTGCGGTTTTTTCCCGCCAGCAAACCGCAAACTGGACAGTTTGTAGATGCATTTAAAAAGGAATGTGTTGTTGCTCTAACACTAAGAAGCGGAAAACGGAAACATCATCAAACATTTCGCAGATACTGGGTCCATCCACTGACTAGCGGACTAGCCGAAAATTTAAACAAGATCTCTTTCATGAAAAGTATCCAGATTTAAGAAAACACCCTGAGAAATTTTTTAACTCTACTATCGGAGCGGAAACGAGGACCAGCGGAAGTTCTGTGCTCTAAGCACAATGGCGTTTATATCAACGACATCCCATGCTAACACTTTTGACAATGTGTTGCTAGATGTACGATTACTGGGGAAAGGTAAATACGCAGAAAGTTCTGGTACTCGTTCTTCAATTTTCAGTAGTCGGTAACCCAATCTCCCCGTTCTTCTGTCGTCACACGATCACAAGAATATTCGCTCCCAGAAGTCGCCCGACCTCAAAATACCCCACCCCTACCCCCCATTTTCAATGAATTGTTTATTCTTATTATTTGGTTAACTTCTACTGGTGCTATTGCTGTTCTAATAAGGTTCAGTGTTCCCCATGTCGATCACTCAAAGTCAGTACCACTGGGCATCACTTGGATAAGCCGGTAGTTGGTAAGTGAATCGTCTAGAGTGAAGTCCAGGAATCATCTACGGAATTTAACTATCTTTTATATGCATTGGACTCCGGACAGAGAATGGCACTCATCAATAGTTTGTTTAGGAACAACAGCTACAACTGTCGGGGGAAGTCAAATACCTGGGGGTAATATTAGACTCCAAACTAACCTGGAACCCGCAGATCAAACGCTCTCGTGACAAAAGATGGGGATTAAGCCTTTCTATGATGCAGTGGACGTACATAATATTGGTTATGCCCATGAAAAAAAAAAAGATTTTATTGTGTTACGTCGTCGTTAGTATACAGGGTAGGGTGGCTTTGAAGTTGAGTCATTAATTTTCAGATAATGATTGTAGAAGGAAGATAAACCAAAATATGTGTGTAAAAATAAAAAAAAAATTAAAAAAAATTTACCTTGTTTTATAAAGTATCCTCCCGACAAGTATTTCAGTGCGGACCTGTATTTGATCGTGAGGTCTTGGAGCACCGGCATGCCGTCCCCTGTGAGGTCTTAAGTCACCTGATTCACGAGCCCGTTGTACTACATTAACAAAGGCACGAGGGGTTGGTTGCACTCGTTTGGGAAACCGATCCGCATAAACGTGTGCCATTTTTTATTTCGTTTGAGCCACGCAACAGACACCACTATTCACTCACGCGTTACCGACTGACACTGACTGTATACAACTGAATAAAATAATTGTAAAAACATTGTTCCAAATTCTTTCGCTTTTTTGTTTCCGATGCGATGAACCGATAAGGCGGATTATATCCGTTGTTGCCAAACACGAGCACATAATATTATTATTAAGACAGGGTGGTACTCAAACTTCCAAAGGGCTATAACTTTGTTACTTTAATTTTACCAGAAAAACGGTAAAGGAAAAAAACATTTCTTTTGATCAGATCTACTCACTGTTAAAATAAATGACTCAACTTCGAAGTCACCCTGTATAAGTATTTTATGTTTTCCTTTACCCGCGCACAAGGCCCACCATTCTGCGGGCTCTTCATTTATTTGTCCTCTATAAAATTCTGTGTAATGGTTGTGTATTTTGGAGACAAATAAATATTACTATTACTATGACTTATGTTCTTTATGATGGTGTTCCGAAGAATGACAGTACCGCGCGCGGTTGCCGCATCAAATGTGTGCGCGCCAATATAAGTTTCATGAACTAAAAATTTTGGCGCGGTTTTTTCCCGCCAGCCATTCTGTAACAAGTCGCGGTTTCAAAATCAGTCGCGGGAAAAAACCGTCAGTGCGGCCGCTTCCATTAGTTTACTTTACTCACAAAATCAGGCGGTCAAAATCCGCGGCGGTATAGCCGTAGTGCGGCCTGAGCCTAAAAGTGCCAGTATTCACCTCCATCTATGACCTTGTAACGATATTTCTACAGATTGTATATTTTGATATTGACCATTATATATGTACTTACTGTCTTGTTGATGAATGTACCATGTCCCCAAAAATGTGCAAAATCCACTTGGAGCACGCGCTTTACTATTTCGACGTCGACCGCGATCAAAGTTGGAAAAAGCATTTGGTATGCTCCGCCAAACTTGTGTCCCTAAAAATCATGAATTACTTGAGGTGTCATTCCTATTAAATGAACTAACTCCGATTATCCCAAAAAAATAGATTCAGATGATTTTGATCCCGATTCCCACGAATTCCATGACGACTCCAGTAGTTTCGATTCCGATTCCTAACACCGAGTTGTATTTGAACTCATTTTTTCAAAGGATCGAATTCGAATATTCTCTCTACCGCAACAGGATCCTCGCTGATACGCTTTCATTTCCAACTTCTCCAAACTGGTAACGATCTACTAGGTAACAATCGTGGACCTTGGAGTATTGGTGATTTTTGGACACATGTTATGCTGCCAAAGCATTACAGCAGCAAAAGCGTCTTCATGGAAAACAGTGCGAAGACACATTCTAAATTAGTCCTTCTCTATCAGAACAAGAAGCCACAAAACGTAAATTCTAGTCTAAGCCCACTGATTGCTGTGAAAATGTGACCATACTCAATTTCCAATTGTAAATTGTTGTGTGTGTGTGTGTGTGTCAAAATATTGGTATTGGAAACTGGAGTCCATTTGCCACAAAATGTTGTCAATGGATTTATATTATCTGATCATTGTGAGAGACGGTAAGAAAGAAAGAAAAGGGGTGGATATAACTGAATGGTTACGAATTCCAGACAAGGTTTATTTTATATAGTAATATTTGCCTTTTTAAGGAATTGAATTAGCGCTAAATAAATTTTTATATCCGGAAAGGATAAAATGGTAGTCAGACTTAAAGGTAGTTGGAAGCCAAGTTTAATCACCTGAGCGATTAATTGGTAGGAGATATTGGTGTAAAGATTACAAGCGAAAAATATGTGATTTAGATCGGCTATAGAAGATTCATCACAAGCACAATTTGGTGACTCTATTACACCTATTCAAGAAGATGAGCAGGAAAGCAACCATGACCCAATTTCAATCTCGTTATAATTGTGGAGAATCTTCTATTGATATAGAAGAGATCTATGTGGGGAATTATATTGGGAAGGGTCGGGTGAATAAGAGCATAATGATTTCGAGAGTTTACTACAAAGTTGGACCAGATCAAATCCCATATTTTCTTGTTGTTACCTCTGATCTCTATGAATAAATCAGAAAAAAGTTGCACATGGGTAATCGTACTAGAGTGAATTGCATTTTTTGCAGCTTTATCAACCATCTCGTTGCGTCTGATGCCAGCATGCTCTTTTACCCAAACAAAATTTATCTTTGCTCTTTTGGCTTGATAAGCGACGAGTAAGTTTCTGATTTCTGATTTTGCATAATAATTGCTTCTAAGACTGACCTCGAATCTGTAATAATTGTTGCATGATTATTTTTTTGCACCAGAGGCACCAGAAAATCGCCTGTAAATATGGAGCACAGGTCAGGAATCCTGTATCCCTTGCAATAATCTTTTTGTGGGACGTAGAACGCGCACCCAGTACCCATCTCACTTTTGGAGCCGTCGGTATAGACGACAGTGTGGCAATTGAGATCTTCCAATACGGCAGATAGAACAGACCTATTGTACAGTTTTCGGTATATGTAGGGATTGTGATGGTTGTTTCATTAAGGCAAACTTCATAAGGGCCAACATATAACGGGTAATTATCCATAGGATGAATTAAATTAGCGAGATGACTGGTCTCTACGAAAGCTTCAGCTAGCAGTGGTGAGGATTTTTTTCCAGTACTTGTTAGTCAAGTCTGTAGTTACTAACTATGATATCTTATTAAGCAAGTATTTGTTATAGGTTCTGTATTTGACAACAGCCTTCCCTGCAAAGTACCTTCTTCGTAATGCAAGAGGAGGTTCCCTTGCTTCAGCTAAGATTGCTGGACATGGTGTTGATTTCATGACTCCCATGCAAATTCTCAAGGCCTGATATTGTATTCGGTCAATTTTAGTTAGGTGAGACTTAGCCGCGGAACCGTACAGCACACAACCATAATCCAATACGGACCTTACGTATAATAAAGCGCTATTTTAGGATCTGATCCTAAATTGTTAAAAGTGTCAAAAGGCTCCAATCAGCATTGCACTTGTCGAGGGGTTTCAGTTAATATCCCGCAACACCACTTTTTACCTGTTTGAGAAATGTACCTATAGCACACTGGCACTACAGATAGTGGATCTTCATTAGGAGTCTTTAAAATTAAAAGCAATATCCGAATCCCAACGGAAACATGTCCTTCAAACAGTTCGTCAAGAATTTCTTCCTAACGTTTCACTAGCATGAGTGGAAAGCTTCTTCAGAGGTCCTTGCATTTCCTGACTGAGTCTACATCCACCCGTGCGAAATCGGAACCATGGAATCGAATGGCTAAAAGGAAAGATTGAGACTAGCTGTAACCTTTACCTTAGACTTGAGATCAAAGTAAACTTCTTTCCATATTTCCCCAAGTGTTCTCCTTTTTAAAATAAAATCTTTGATATTGCCAAATGGTAGGCTTGGTTCGGGGCCAGGTACACCCTTTCTTTTCCAATATCCAAAAGCCCATTTCACGTACAAGTAGGCAATTGTTAGGAAAACGGCTAGTAATGCCACAAAAATGTTGTTCTGGAATGAATCAAAAATATTATTGAAACGAACCAAACATTCAAAAGAGCTAGTAGTAGATAAACAGCCAAAAGTTATGATTTATATACTTTTCAATCATTAATTTCCAATGTAGTCGATAAATTGCAAAAAGTTTGTTATCTTCAGTCTACAATGTAACGTTTTACGCATCTACTTGGTGTATTGATAACATACGGACGAGTACAGATAGACAAACATATATTAATTTGTAAGTGAAGAATATTATCTAAATCGATAACAGCTTAATTGAAGGTCAGGAATACCAAATAGTAACGTTCATCTATGACAAAAATTTGATAGCAATAATTTGGGCATAGTAAGGTAGTTTGCAACATTTGGCATATTTTATGATACTTATAACGAGTAAATGACTTGTTTGAATCGACTGATAATTCACAGTAATATTAATTATTTTTCATGTTTCTATAAAAATACGCAAAAAAACACCATATGCAAGAACAGAGAGATTAGAGAGCTTTTCAAAGTATTTTGTATTGAGCTGGTTCGTTGAGCAGTACTACGCGGTTTGTAAATTTGATCCTTAAAAAAAGGCGTCAAGTAGGTTGACCTCACACTTCTTCCGTAACGCTGTTATCATAAGGGATTGTATTCGGTACAAGTTGGATCCTCTTAGACAAAAAAAGCGGACTATGAACATGTATAACAAAGGAATTAAATGGACTGTAGGCATAGTCCAACGTCGCAGTCCTGCACGGGAATATATTTATAATAACTGGTGATTTTTTAAGAGGTATAGGATTTGATTTTAAAAAAAAACACAAAAAATTTGAAAAAACGATTAAATCTTTATTTGAGTCGATAGAACGGTCGATATAATTTAATGTTTAAAGATTATTTTATGTAAATGTTGGACGCGGCTCCGCTTTAGATGGCCCATGCGCAAGGTCCAATTTTGGCACACTCTCTCCAACATATCGGCCGGTATCTCACGAATAAATGCTTCAATATTGGCTTCCAGTGCGTCAATCGTTGCTGGTTTATCTCTGTAGACATTAGCCTTAACATGGCCCTTTAAAAAATAGTCCAACGGCGTTAAATCACACGATCTAGGCGGCCAATTGACGGGCCCCAAACGTGAGATAAACTGTTCACCGAACTCACCTCTCAATAGGGCCATTGTTTCGTGTGCGGTGTGGCATGTGGCACCGTCTTGTTGAAACCACATGTCAGCCAAGTCCAGCTCTTCCATTTTGGGCAAAAAAAAGTTTGTTATCATCGCACGGTAGCGCTCGCCATTCACAGTTACGTTCCGGCCATTGTCGTCTTTGAAGAAGTACGACCCGCTGATACCACCGGCCCAGAATCCACACCAAACAGTGATTTTTTCGGGATGCATTGGTAGCTCTTGCAATGCTTGTGGCTGGTCTTCACTCCAGATGCGGCAATTTTGCTGGTTAACGTACCCATTCAACCAGAAATGAGCTTCGTCGCTGAACACAATTTTTCGATAAAAATGTGGATCTTCCTCCAACTTTGCCAGCGCCCATTCACCAAATGGGAAACGTTGTGGGAGGTCGTGTGGCTTCAATTCTTGCACCCGCTGTATCTTATAAGGTTTTACACCCAAATCCTGTCGCAAAATTTTCCACGTAGTGGAGTAACAGAGGCCCAATTGCTGCGAACGGCGGCAAATCGACATTTCACGGTCATCACTAATACTGGCGGATACAGCCGCAATATTTTCTTCAGTCCTCACTCTACGTCTGCCTGTTGGTGGTTTAATGTCCAATAATGTAAACTAGGTTCGAAATTTAGTCACAATCTTCCGAAAACCTCCATCAGTAGGCCGACCAAATTGCCCATAAATTGGAAGCAGTGCTCGATGCACTCTCTTAACCGAGCATGAATTTTGAAAGTAAAATTCAATAATTTGCAAGCGTTGTTCGTTCGTAAGTCGATTCATGGTTAAATTATAGACCAAACTGAACAACAAGTATGACAATGACACAAGACACGATTCACGCGTCATCTGTCAAAAACAGTGTTGCCAAAAAGATACTAGCAAAAAAATCACCCATTACAACCTCAAATTTTTAACCCCTGCAAATTTTTGTCTGGAAATGGTCAGGAGCCTCTGAAATGTAAAAAAGTTTTAGCGATTTTTTTTCACGTCTTTGCCCTACTCTGCCGCTGGTCCAGGTCTGCAAAGATTTTTCGTGCTTCCTTGTAAAAATTTCATGCAGATCCAAGCAGAACTTTCCAAATTATAGGCGGTCCAAAGATTAACGGGTAGACATACCGATAGGCAGATAGACATATCGAAATACATGACATCCAAAAAACATGATATCTTATTTTCGAAATTTTTCAATATTTATAATGTATAATATAGTATTTCAATTACAATACTTCCTCGCCCAGTGGTTTAGGAAATAAAAAGAATCATATTTTCACTGTTAGTGGAACAGATGTGTAAACTGTGTCCAATGAGTACCACGACAAACTTAAGGAGACGGTAGGCTTTAGACTCACCTCCCAATAATAAAAATTTACCTATAATAAAAGTGCTCCGTTTTTGAGATATTGAATTCTTTCTTGAAATTTAAAAAAAAACGAACCTTTTCATCTGTGGTCTTTAGCTGCATGTACAAATATGGTTACACTTTGTTCATTTTTATAATAATAGTTGCTTTACAAACTTACTCTAATATAATCATATTATATCTTTTTCAACTTATAAATGTAACCTTTGACCGTTATTTACTATGTTGTTAGCTATCGTATGAAAATGTATTAACATAAATTGTTTACAGCTCGCTGTTTCATATCTGGATACTAATTTGAATAAGAAAATAGTATTATTATGATTAACCACCACGATGAATTGCTGTAATGCACTGCTATAGTATTGCGAGTACCAAAGATTGTCTCTGCCTGACAAGAAAGCTTCTAGTCAGATTCTTAGATATCCCTGACGCCCGGGGAAGCAATATCCTAGGACATGCTGAATCAAAAAATCATGTTGCCTAAATAATTGCACAGACGGAGCCTAGCGTGCCGAGGCTCCCTAGTTGATCATTAACGTAATCACTATATACACTAGAAATACTAACAACGCACAGCATCACCGCGCTAGCAGCGTCTTCACACGACTGAACGGATTTTCGCTTTGACATTCACGTCCATCACGTACGTTCAATTAAACTTTTAATCCAGTCATTTGAGATTCATTAAGAAAGATAAAAGAAGAAAGCTTTTTAAATCTTTGTAGCAGATCTCTAAAGGAGATGGGCAGGTTTGGCTCGTAGAAGCTAGCTAACAAAATAGGGCTATGATGACAGGTTTTTAAACCCTCACAGCCCCATCTAATAGATAGAATCTTTGTTATTTCGGTAGACCAGCAGTTGATGATATAGAGCGTGTCAAAAAATAGAAAGCTGCAATAAATGTAAAAATATACTAAGTGACATATAAATCCAAACACCCAGTTTAAATGGTTTTATTTTAATAAAATTTTGTATAAGTACTTAATGAAGCATAATAAGTAAATGATAAAAATTTCAAAATGATTGCACTGCTTTAAAGCCCTTTGACCTTTAATAATGTGTGGATGCACCCTGATGTGCTACGCATTCTCCAACGCGCCCAGGCATGCTTCTGATCAGGTGGTCAATGTCCTCCTGTGGTATCTCATTCCAGGCAACCACCAACTCCTCTCGAAGTGCTTCTAGAGTCTGAGGAGGACGTTGCAAATTGAGCAATCTCCTACCCATCATATCCCACACGTGCTCAATTGGGGATAAGTCGGGAGATCTTGGTGGCCATGGTAACAATGTGACATCATTATGTTGAAAGAAGTCTATTGTGACTCTTGCAACATGTGGTCGGGCATTATCTTGTTGGAAAGTTGGATCTGCCAGGGTGTCAAGATAGGGTAAAAGATGGGGTTCTAGAACGTTGCGGATATAACGCTGCGCGTTCATGTTACCTCTGATGAAGATTAAAGGTGACCTGGAACCATAAGCTATAGCACCCCAAACCATAACTCCAACGAATGAGAAGTTTTGGCTTGTTTTCATACCGGCCACGCTGGTTCCTCCCTTTAACTCGAGAACACCGACGTAATCGCCTTGAGTGGTGCAGACAACGGTCACTCTGGGATCAGGAATGGAACAGTATTGTCTTTAGTGACGAGTCTCGATTTTGTTTAGGTATGCACGATGGTCGTGCCAGGGTTAGAAGGCGACGTGGTGAAAGGAGGAATCCACAGTTTTTTGTTGAAAGACATGTTAATCACACTGTTGGAGTTATGGTTTGGGGTGCTATAGCTTATGGTTCCAGGTCACCTTTAATCTTCATCAGAGGTAACATGAACGCGCAGCGTTATATCCACCAAGTTCTAGAACCCCATCTTTTACCCTATCTTGACACCCTGGCAGATCCAACTTTCAAACAAGATAATGCCCGACCACATGTTGCAAGAGTCACAATAGACCTCTTTCAACATAATGATGTCACATTGTTACCATGGCCACCAAGATCTCCCGACTTATCCCCAATTGAGCACGTGTGGGATATGATGGGTAGGAGATTGCTCAATTTGCAACGTCCTCCTCAGACTCTAGAAGCACTTCGAGAGGAGTTGGTGGTTGGCTGGAATGAGATACCACAGGAGGACATTGACCACCTGATCAGAAGCATGCCTAGGCGCGTTGGAGAATGCGTAGCACATCAGGGTGCATCCGCACATTATTAAAGGTCAAAGGGCTTTAAAGCAGTGCAATCATTTTGAAATTTTTATCATTTACTTATTATGCTTCATTAAGTACTTATACAAAATTTTATTAAAATAAAACCATTTAAACTGGGTGTTCGGATTTATATGTCACTTAGTATAGTTCGGTATCACAAATAATATAGAGTCAACAACACATATACAACAAATTGAAATCAAAATAGAATCAAAATCACGAAGTATGACATTTGCACATGCATGAATAAGTAATGTAAAAGCATATCTGTATATACTAAAAGTGTTGAGGAAAGAATGACTAAAGGAAGGAAAGAAAGAAAAAGATCTAAATGCATCACTTGTCCGTAAAAGCAATCATAATAAAATGAAATACTCATTCGTAAAGTAGTAGAGTCTTCCCCTGTTCTTAAATGATCCCACTGCAATTTATTGAACAATTTTGTAGCCATTAGGTTTGGGCTATTTGTAGTGGATGACAATCTGTGTAAGGAAATTTGAAGAACAAACGACCGTCTGGTTGATGATCTGTTGTGATCACTTAACTTTGGAATATCTGCAAAGTTCTCGAAGATCAGCAGCTCTAGGATGTAAGTCTAATATTCCAAGGTGTCGGCAATATTCCCTACAATTGTTTTTCTATTTGTACCCACAATTAACCAGACCGCTATTTTTTGTTACGGTAAAAACTCTGTCATAAGCTAAACTCATGAAAACTAATAAACGTCACAGGAATGAGTCAAACAAGAAAGTCAAAATAAGAGAAGAATTAACAGAAGAGTTGGAGATTAATACAGGGAGACCCACTAGTATCTACACTTTTATTTAATATGAATCGCTAAACGAGAACTACCTATCCAGAACTATTGCCTGAACATACATTATGCAATATTCGACTAGTAATACTGTATTTTATCAGTTTTATTGTCATTTATGTAATAAGTGGACACCCAAATAAAAAGACAGTTATTCTTACAATTATTATTTGCATTGTTTGTGTGTCTATAAGCATTGTACTATTTCCGTTTTCAGTGAAAATAATGATACAAATATTATTTCAAATGACCCAGGAATACGTTTTTGTTCGACATCGCCTAAAATAGCTAGATTATACGCAATTGGAGTACATACTCTACTATCTAATCTACTTCATCATTGAAGATCGTAGCCACCTGCATAACTATCATATCAGGAACGCATATAAGGCAATTTTGGATGTGGGATGTATAATATGTACTTTAAAATGTTCGTGTTTGGTTTTGTTTGACGTTGGAGAACGGCGTCATATTGAATTTGCTGTTGAGAGGCCTGTACACAGGACTGTTGGAGTCATGGCTTGGGGGGCTATTGCACACGGTAGCCGATCACACCTTTCCTTTGTTCAAGGCAATATGATATGTCCAGACATCGATCATCTCATTTTGTCTATGCCTAGACGTATACAGGAGTAGGGATGCCCAAAATTGAAAAAACATCGATACTGGTATCAAATGATGTATCGAAAATTGAAAACATCGTTCTTTCCGATACATCGATATTTTCAAAAAAATCGATGTATCGAATCAGCGAATTTTGCTAGTTTTGATTAGTAAAGTAAATAATCATAATTCAAATCATTTTTGGAAAAACTAGTCATTAAATATTAAAGTAAAAAGTCTATTATAAAGGAGACTCATTTTATTTAAAAATATACTTTTGGAATATAGTTATACATTAGATTACAGATTACTCTAAACATATAATCCTAAATCCATATAGAAAATGAACTGCAACATAAAATAAAAACAAATTAATTTACACATTCCAAAACTTCTTATTAACACTATTTAAAAATAGTAACTTTGAAAGTATTTTTCCTTTCAGACGATTTCTCGTTTGTGTCAGTGTTTGCCCTGCCTTAGAGAAAAGACGTTCAGAAGGTACGGAGGTTGCCACAATCGATAAGTATTTCTGCGCCAATTTTGCTAGGATGGGATGTGTTCCAGACATTGCTTTCCAAGTAGACAGCGGGTTATCAGAAAAATTGGAAATTGGACTCCTTAAGTATTGAGTGACTTCTGATGTAATATCTGTAGAATATTCATCTAATTGTTTCGATTTCGTTCGTTCAACAATTGTATGGTGACCGCTCCACAAATTAAATTCTTTTGAACTGCCTGAAAAAATAAAAATAGATGCAAAAATTAGCTTTCATTTTATTGAAAAATATTAGTTTTACCTGGATTTGCATCTACATTGTCAATTCCGTCAACATCGCCAACGTAAGGTTCTCCAGCTTTCTGTAACTTAAGTTATTCTTTGTAAAGGCATTGTAATAAATTAACAGCATTTGCGCAAGCTAATGGGTTCTTAAAATGAAGTCTTTTAAAATGTGGATCCAGTAATGTGGACACTGCTAGTATCTCTACGTTTTCAATATCTCCAAATCTCTTTTCCATCTGTTTAAGCAAACTTTTTTTTAATTCTTTACCAATTTCTAAAACAGCTGACGTTTCATTAATTTTACCGAGAAGGCAGTGTACCATTGGGATAACTTTGCTGCTGGTTACATAATGTTCCCCACATAATTCTCTAGTTGCCGCTTCCAAGGGTCGCAATAAGTGCTTAATCTCTTCTAGTTCTTCAGCTTCTTTTGCACTGATCATATTTGGTGCTGATCTATGTCGATTAATAATTTCATTTATGGTTGGTCTTAGTTCCAAAAAACGCTCTATCATAAAGTACTTAGAATTCCACCTAGTACTAACTTCTTGAATTAGTTTTGTTTCAGTACCAGTTGCTTTTCTTAGTTCGTCGCTAGCCACTACGCTTGCTTTAAACCAGGTAACAATCGTTCTTAATTTTGATATCAGAGTAGACAAGTTAGCAACGTCACTAACAGATTTTTCAGCAACCAAATTAATTAAATGTGCAAAACAGGGAATACTATATTTTTTTCGAAACCCCAACTCTACTGCTTTTAATATGTTGGCACCGCTGTCAGTTACGATTGCTGAAATATTTTCTTTTTTTATATTCCACATTCTGCAGATGTTTACTAATTCATCAGCTAAATATTGTCCCGTATGTCGTTCTTGAAGCTCGATTTCACCCAAAGTACTTGATGCTAGTTCTGTTTCATTATCAGAGCAATAGTATACTGTAAGGCCTAAAAAGCTTCGCGTCTGCATCGTATCAGTCCACACGTCCGTGGTTAGTGTAATATTCTTTGTTTTACTCAACTTTTCACGAACATTCGCAGCTACACAATCTATTTGAGGTCCAAAAGTTGAGTAAAGCTAGTTCTATTTGGTACTTTAAATTGAGGAACAGTTACCTTCATCAAATTCAGGAAGCCTTCATTTTCAACAAAAGAAAATGGTTGTAAATCTTTACATATCATATATAAAATCGATTCCTTTATTTGACGATTTTTATTGCCACCTTCTGAAAACGATCGTATATACTCAAACGAATCTGTCATGGTTTTTTTACGCTTTGGGGCAACTGTGAAAGATGAAGATGAACTTTGTTCTGAACTTACTGGCTAAGGAGATCGAGATCTTGCTTTGGATGGCCCTGGTAATACATCGTCATCGTAGTAATTGCTTTTGGAGGCAGTACCTGTACCTGCAGGTTCTTTTTTAGAGTCCACTGGCTTAGTTGGATTAATATTTTTATGCAGGCGATCAAGATGCAGCAATAAATTCGTAGTATTTCCAGAAGTTTTTAGAATTTTAGAACAGTAACGGCAAGTGGCAGTATTTGCTGAATTTTTTGAGAAATGTCGCCAAACGTTGCTTTTTAGAGGTGCCATTTTGAGCTTAAAAAAAGATAAAAATGTTTTTTGTTTTATACGATGCTAATTTTGATTAATAATAAGTTTGCGACAAGCGTTCGCAACATGATTCAAATTTGTAAAGACAAAAAAGTACTTACTTGTAGAGTATGTAATTATTAGTTATTTCAATGTAGAACAGACACAAATACGAACATTGAACAGCACCGTTCGAAAATAACGTTACATTAGCTGCTTCAAAACAACACTAAAAAACTGTTTACAAGTCGGCACAATTCTGCAGTGTTGGTTAAAAAAATGGGATTCCCCGAACGCAGGGCATCAAAGCATTGTTGCCAATGTTCCTTTTTTTTTGTTAGATATAGTGAAGCGATTCGATACATCTATAGGCAGTACTTCGATACATTCGATACATCGGAACAAAAATATCGATGCAAAATCATCGAAAATCGAAACAAAAATATCGATACTTTCGATACATCGATACATCGTGGGCATCCCTATACAGGAGTGTATTCAGCTGTGGGGTCGCCCAACACATTATTAATTTTTTCTTATTATTTGTCAATAAAATTTCGTGAGAATGTTATCGTTTAGTTCTACTACCTCATTGCCAAAAAATGAAGTTGAAATTATTTTTTCTGGGTGTAACACTTTTAAGGTCACTGAGTATATAACAGCTTTCTACCGCATATATGAGGTAGGCCGGTCTAGGTATACGTCAGTACGAGGCGGAAATTCCCCCTATAAAACTCCATTCTATTACGTGCAATCCTTTGATTTCTAACCCCTTCGTGTATCGATCATACTACCATCGCTATGGCGTCACTATGGTCTAGTCAGGTCAGGACTAGCTTACTCATAACCTCTAAGACAAAGAGTCAAATCATGTTTTTACTATGTAAATTGCTCACAATATTCTTACACTGATTAAATCGATTGGAAAATTAAATACTTAACAGCCTTTTCTAAATGTTAAATCAGCAAAAAATGCGGTAGCGAAATATAGTTAACAGGTTTAATATAGTGTTATGGCTTTACTACATAAAAAGCCCTCATTAACCAGATGAGTTACGGCGTCCAGCTGCCAGCGCAACGGCTTGAAGAGTTTTGAGTTCGAATCCCGGCCTCCGAAGTTACATTTTCGGTCATGTATGTTCTGTTTGTCTATACAGGGTGTCCCAATACTGCGTGGTACTTCGTTTGTCAGTAAGAGGGCGTCAAATTTCTCTTTTTCAAAGACATTTTTTCATATACTCTTGGTTGAATTTTAACGAAATCTGGAACACGTATGTTTTAGTAGACGACCTAAGATTTGACTGCTTCAAAAAACCCACCCTACATAAATTATAGCAGCATTTCCTTATTCAAAAGGAGCCTTTTATTTACTTCATTTTCATTTTTTGTCTCTCATAACAACATGCCATCCCGCATAGTTTTATTCGGGGCTGGTTCAACTCTTGGTTGAATTTCAACGAAATCTGGAACACGTGTGTTTTAGTAGACGACCTAACATTTGACTTCTACAAAAAACCCACCCTACATAAATTAAAGCAGCATTTCCTTATTCGAAAGGAGCCTTTTATTTACTTCATTTTCATTTTTGGTCTCTCATAACAACATGCCATCCCGCATAGTTTTATTCGGAGCTGGTTTCTAGAAAAATTTATTATTAAATAAAGTGTTAAAATATTTTTCGACGCATTGTTATGTGTAAGAATAAAAATAGTGATAATATTGAACACCTTTTGCGAATGATCCGCACTACCGCGTGTATATATGTAGACACTTCAAAACTGTGAAGCTATTAAACTACAGTGCTCTCAATCGAGCATTGTCTGAAATAAACTGGTCCAACCTGCTTGCACAACGTAGCACTGAAGATATGTGGGATATATTCTCTCGTCGAATCCAACTGGAAGTCACTAAGCATACAACCACAAAGAAGATATATAGTCACCCAAGAAAGCCTTGGATTAACCATAACCTCTCAAGGATGTTGAGGCATAAAAAAAGCGTTATGGCAAAGATTCCATAGAAGTAGACTACAACAGGATTATGTATCTCATCGATCTTTCTCTAACATCCTTTCCAAGAACCTGAAAAACGCCAAGCGCAATTATGAGCAAAATCTTGTGTCATTGAAAGATAAGAAGAAGTTGTTTAGATACTTGAGATCCACCGTGAACTCTAAGGTTTCTTCCCCACAAATCCGTGATCCCAATGGCCACCTACATACTGATGCCGAAAAATATGCCAATCGTCTTGCCGATGATCTCAGTGAAGATTTTGTGAATGAACCTGACGGTGATGGTACTCTTCCGGCCCACATAGATGCCTAGCGGCCATCTGTAACATAGATTTTCAACCTCAGGACATTGAGAGGCACCTTACTAAACTGATAACTTGTTCGTTCCCTGGAAAGGATGGGATTACTTCTGCCGTTATGAAGTACTGTGCTTCAACTGTCGCATACCCCCTGTGCATTATATTCAAATCCTCGTTTCAAAATCACATCCTTCCTTCCTGTTGGCGTACTGCATCTGTGACACCGATATACAAAAAGAAGACAAAATATCTGCGAAAAACTACCGTCCTATCAGTCTTGTGCCTATAGCTGCGAAAATAGCCGAAAAGATCGTCCAAGAACAACTTATGACATTTCCGTTCAAGAATAACCTGCTGCCTTGCAACCAACATGGTTTTATTCCTGGTAGATCAATTATCACCAAAATGTTACACTGCATCGACAATTGGACCAGATGTTCTTTCGATCGAGTTCCGCCTAAAAGGCTCCTGCACAAGCTTGAACATCTCGGAATCAGGGGAAACTTGTTGTTATGGTTTGATGCTTTTTTGTTAGATAGATCTTTCTTCGTCCGTGTTGGAGACGCCTATTCTTCTAGCCATCATGTTCCTAGTGGAGTTCCACAAGGATCTGTGCTAGGCCCAATACTTTTTCTTCTTTATACTAGCGACCTTCCCACCCGACTTTCTTCTATGTTTTCCATCTATGCAGATGATACTAAAGTTTATAACACTGCCATGAACTCATCTGTGCTTCAAGAAGACCTCAAGCTGATCAGAAAGTGGTCAGAACTTTGGCTCCTGCCTTTAAATCTCTCTAAATGCTACGTTCTCCACCTGGAAAGAATAATCCTAACTTAACATATAGGATTGCCAAACATACCGTAGAGACTGTTTTTCTTCACACAGATCTTGGTCTGACAGTTAATGACCGGCTCACCTGGTCGGAGCACATTCAGAACATAACCTCTAAGGCAAAGCGGTTGCTATATATGATGGAAAGATCATTTAGCGGTTGCACCGTTAGTACCTCCTCCTTCTTGTACACAACTTTCGTACGACCCCTACTGGAGTTTGCTGCTCCGGTATGGGATTCAAACCTTGTTCGCGATAGCAGCTTATTAGAGGACATTCAGCATCATGCTACACGTATGCCTTATGGCACACGTAAGCCAGGTTATGAAGACCGCCTCGAGTTATATAACCTGCCTGCTTTTGCTGATAGAAGAATGCGAGGAGATCTCATCATCACTTTCAGAGCACTGCATGTTTGGTATGGACATGTCGCATCTGTTTCATCTGGCGACGAACAATCTCAGAGGCCATAACTTCAAATTGCAGAAGGAAGCTTTTAGAACCTCTACTCGTCAGCGCTTTATCTCAAACCATGTCTTCGATGCATGGATCAGTCTTCCATCTTATGTAGTGAACTCGGCATCCGTCAACAGTTTCAAAAACAATTATCATAGACACCGCAGTGCTTAACATATTGTTCCCATTCTGTATATGTCTTGTCTACTTCAGAAGTGCTAAGATTGTCAAATTGTTATATTTCTTTTGTCTGTGCACTATTATCTATTATGTGTTTGAGTTTATAGTACTTGTACTCAACTCAAATTTGTTGTTTAATAATAATAATATTAAATAAAATTGTGACGGTTAATATCATAACTGCTCATTGTATCAAACTACTTAACTTGTCACCCTTTTCGAAACCTTTGGAGCTTTTGTAACGACTAGCAAAGCATATTATGTTTTCCAAAATCTTACGGGTACTTTTATGTTCACGAAATAGTGGGACACCCCGTATCCTCAATAGATCGGTGCAAGCATGTATAGGGTGGGAAAAAAAGATCAAAGGTGGCCTAAATGCCAGCTTTGCTTTGTCTCCCCACCACTACTGCGACAGAGGTGTCACGCCGTTGTGATGACGTCATATTTTGGAAAGTATAAGTTCTTAGAGGAACCTGCTTGACAATAAATCTGAGACCTCACTTCTTCATAATGCAATTTCGTGTTTGTTCATAAATGAGCTGCAACAAAGTGCATATCTCGACACATTGACCTGTTTCATATCAATGTTAATAGTTTGGTACGAGAATCATACACAGAACTGTTATTTTTGGTTGTTATTATTTTGTTCAGGATTGAGACTGGTATCACTTCACGACAACGAGCAGTTTTGCAACATAATACCGGAAACCCAAAGCAACTTTTTTGTTACACATTTGAACTCATGATTCAAGAGAAAAGAAATGTCATTTTTCATTAATATCGTAGTTCGGTTAAGAAAAGCCCAAAATTATTTTCAAGTTTAAATGATAATTTAGGCTAGTACTGGCCTGTCATTGGTATTGTCATCCCCACGCAGAATTAAACACGGACACGTTTCTCCTGGGGTGGAAACTTTAGTTGTGGGTAGTGGAGTGCTTCCAAAAGCTACGTTGTTATATTGCTATTTACAGTTTTTTGTGGGGATTTGATTTCGATCTAATTGTAAGTTGATTTTAAGGATACGCGTAAATAATAGAGTCAATATTGTTTATGCATGAGATGCAAAACTTGATAAACACCTGCAACGAAAGCATTGATGCTATACTTTGTCTCTCGTATATTTTGGTGAATCAATCAGACAATAAACAACATTTGATGGTAGAAAATTGATATCAAGGTTGCATTTTGTCGTGAAGAATATTGTGGGAGGCCCTTGTATTGTAAATTTTCGAAATTCAAGCTGTCAGTGAATATTTAAAAAATGTCGCCAACAATGGCCAAACATTCGCAACGACAGAAAACGCGTTTGAAATACGATCGTCTTGCACTTCTTCTTTAGAAATAATTCAACCCATAGATTTAATGAAAGGTCTGTGGAGCAAATGTAACTATAGCTAATAGTAACAGCCTAAACTGAAACCTGTCTTCACAACGGTTGAAGATGTCGCATATTTCGAATGTCCCAGCAAGCAGTAGAACCTGTGTCATTGATAAATAAACCAGTTTTCCGGAATAATATATTATTTGAGTTTTAACCGATTGAACTGTCGAATAACCTTCACAGTTAATCAACAATAATGGAAAGATCCGAAAAATAATCATACTAATCATATTTTGTGTGGCTTGTTATTGAAAATTACACTTAATAATAGCTACATGTTTTAATTCTGCATGTTTTGATATCTTTAAGGTACATAGGGGGAACCCAGCCAAAGCAAACAACCTGATAATATATAATTTCCCGTTTTACATCCGAATCATGAATAAGGCATCGTGAAAAGATGCACAGACTTAGCCGTTCGTCCTTCTTCAATAATGTATTTTCAAAGAAAAAAAATACTCATTTTGCAAAATCGCTGTCGTGCGTGTAGTTTCATTTTTTTACTATCTATACGAAGATTTTGGGCAAAGCGGACACAGCGAGGTGGTTTTGATTTTGCCGGTTACATTATTTTTGTAGTTACTAGCTCTAAAATTAGTATTTTGATGCTAATAGCACAAAAATATGAAAAGAAAACAAAACAAGGATCCTGGTACTGATTCTAAAATGACCCGTTTAAGTTCTCACCGTCGAGTACTGAAAAATAAAATAAGTCACGTGATGTATGTTGTATTTGCAATGAACGTGTATTACGCGATATTACTTGAAAGGGAAAGAACTGGATATCAAGGTTTTTTCACCCGTTTGATCAGGAAATCACATTTGAGGGTAAAACGAAATGCCTCCACATCACGTGCTTCCATATGCATTCAATTTCCGATGAATCCTGCAGACAAGATCGAATATCGGTTTTTTAACTAGCGATCAAACACAAGAACATGGCATTATTACGTGAAGGTCTTTCAGTTCTGCTATCATACTTACAATAAAATTAAAATATACTCTGACAGGAATGTATACAACAATAATGAGAGGGTCAAAGAAGATATGATGAATATGTTTTGAACCATGGAGGAGGCTCAAGCAGCAGGATCTGTAGCTTCTGGGAACACAGAAGAGGACTGGCACGTATACGAGGTTCTTTGTAAAGATATAAGGGTAAGTTCAGCTTTATAAGTATTTTTTGCTCTCCTCAACGTGATCCATGGACTCTTCAATTATACAGGGTGTTCCTTAATGATATGCGAATGTTTAAGTGTGTGAATCTACACGAAAAATTAATGTAGTACGCTTTATTTTTTTTTAACTATGGTTCAAAAATGTTTCCTTACAAAAAAAATGGAAATTAATTAATATTTTCAGAACCGCTTCAGATATTTCGCTGATATTTAGTACGAAGTGAAAGTTAATAAAGTTGCATCTTTTTCGATGCAAAATAAATTTTAGCTTTAACAGTGGCGTGCGTACGGGTATTTACTTTGACAAATAAAAATTATTTTTGAATTCCCCGTCCAATTTAAAACAAATAATCTTTCTTGAATTGTTTTCTTCCGACGCGCCATTTTTGAGTAAAAAAATAAAAACCGTCCTATTGTCTAACTTGCATAGCTATTATTAATTTAATTAGAAAACACATTAGGGATAATGAACAACAACAACTGACAACATAAACATAACACTAAAACCAACAAAATGTTTTCAAAAATTGTTGAAAATGGCCCCTTTCACTTAGTATGCATGCTTCCGCCCTCCTCCTCATGGAACTGCGCACTCGTTGAAATATCCCTGGAGTGTTTTTATTCTATCACAAGCTGCAACTATTCCTTCTCTTAATTCCTCTACAGTGTTATGGGGACTTGTGTACACTAGTGTCTTAAGATCTAAAGATCTAAACTGTTGTGGTCTGGGGACGATTTCGATAACAGTTTGTAAATAATTACGAACCGCTACAGTGAAATGCGCTGTTGCACATACTGTTTCTTAACACTAACATCTACACACATCATCAAGCAGCAACGGCAACTGTTGAGGTAAGTCTGACCGTCAAGTCGTCCCGGCAAGAAGAATGGGCCAATAAAGTGGTTGCCAATCATTCCTGCCCATACGTTAACCGAAAATTGGTGTTGGAAATGGGTTTCGGTCACGGCATAGGGATTTTCTTCTTTTCTTCTTCTTTCTTCTTTCAAATTGCGGATTTTGTGTAATTTTTTGAAGATACCACTGACAAAAGTTCACACGCCTTGAAAAATCAATGGCAAGTAATGCCTGTACCCTTGAAATAAGGTAAGGATGTAACAAAAAATCCACTAAAATTCTCCAAACAATTTGATGGCAAATATTTAAGTGTCTAGCGATCTTCCTCTTACTCGTTTCAGGATGTGCTGCCTCAATTTTAGGTGTTCTCACACTTAGAGGTCTACCTTCAGATGTTCCTTTTCGGACAGAACCCGTTTCAACAAGACGACGATGAATATTAGAAAAGCTTCGACTAACTGGCAAAGCACGATCGGGATATCTCTGGTGATAAATTCGTCTGGCTTGCCCACCATTACCGTCGGCAACGCCATATACGTAATGCATTTCTGCCATTTCTGCATTTGAATAACTCACCATTATTAACAAGATTGTGAAAACTAAATAATAAAAAAGATGTCACAGCGAACAGATCTGAATAACAGAGACTTGTCAGATGTCAAAAGTCAGTGACATATTCCAGAGCAACTAGATATTTATTGATAAATTCAATTCTTCAATTATTACATTAATTTTATCGGACAATAGAACGGTTTCTATTTTTTTACTCAAAAATGGCGCATCGAAGGAAAACAATTCAAGAGAGGTCATTTGTTTTAAATTGGACGGGGAATCCAAAAATAGTTTTTATGTGGCAAAACATTATTGGAGTACCATTTTTTTCTTAAAAAATATCGAAGTCAGAACCCGTACGCAAAGCTAATAATTATTTTTGCATTGAAACATATGCAAGTTTATTAACTTTCACTACGTACCAAATATGAGTAAAATATCTGAAGCGGTTCTGAAAATATTAATTAATTGCCATTTTCTTCCGAAAACTTCAACACCCCGAGTTTTTGTAAGGAAACATTTTCGGACCATAGTTTATAGAGCAAACTAACATTGATTTTTCATGTAAATATTCGCGCACCATTAAGGAAGAGCCTATATAAAAACGGCATCATTTTGATTGATTTTATAATTTCCACGTCTTCAACACTGCTTCTAGTACAGTTTTCCTTGTGTAACATCAAAAAGACGTAGGTTTTGTCAAGAGCATATCAATGCGCTGTTTGGGCTTTACAAAAAAAAATCCTCAGATTGCAAAAATAAGCGCGGCGCTCCGAATACGTCTGCTGAAATGTACGGGAAAATCTATGATGTGTGGAATATGTTTAAATATGGTAAATAGGTGCGTAGAATCACTGGAATTGGAAGTGTATGAAATCATCAAAAAACTATATTCCCTACCCGACCCCCTACAACCACTCAATCTCAACTTTTAACCCCTACAAAAGTTTTTCAGAAAATAATCACGACCATCAAAAGATGAAGTTTGAGATTTTCTTAGTTTTTCGTACTTAGCAGCGGATGTCAGAGAAGCGACTTAAAAAACTACAAAGCTTCTTCGTCCTTGGCATAGTAGTAAACTTGTAAACAAATCGGAGTCTTGGCGATGTGAGAGTTTTTCCTCAATTAGTGGCGAGCTTACAAGCCATTGATAGTTTTCGGCCTACATTTCAAAGGCAAAGAATTAGAACACAAGAATTAACCGGGATATATTGAACGAAATTCCTTAAGTCAGGCATATCACGAGATCCGATGTAATAGATCTTTTATTCTTTTATCTACCCATGAGAGACGTCAGGAATGCATGAAGCGTGGTAGTTAGCACTTCGAGCATTAAAAACCTTTCTTTTTTAAATGGCTCCTTCTTAAAGCCATAACTAATAATAAAAAGAAATTCCAGAAAAATTAGTTAAAAAAAAATAAAAATTCAAGGGATTTCCGTATCAAACTTTCTTTGGCATAAATCTTAAGTTAGGAATAAGATATCGAGATGCGGTTTTTGTGAGCTTGTTTAGACATCATTTAGCTACTCTTTCATTGAAAAATCATACCAATAGATTCAACTTTTTTAAGAAAATTAACCATTTCTGTCGGAATTTCTAAAAAACCACTCTAGCGGCCGCACGTGAAACTAGCAAAACTTCAACTGTTATAGCATTTGTAGACTAAGAATAGCTCTTCTCAACTAGCCCAAGTTTGTTAAAATCGGTTCAATCGTTTCGAAGATACAGGGTGTTTTTTAGGGAAACCTTTGAATACCCGCAACTACTTTATTTTCAGATTTACAGCAAAAATTGTCTAACAAAAAAGGTTCAGATTATCCTTAAGATAGCTGTTATGCCCCCTAGCGGTCATTTCAGAAACTTTAAAATTCCTTCCAGGTTTTTCACTTGACCGTTTCAGTAGTAACTGTTACCGGTAATCTGTATAATTCAGGTATTCTATACAATACCTAGGCAATGTATAGATTACCTGGGTTGCCCAAGCAATGTATGAAATATTATGAGTATTATTATCCATTATATACTTTACCTAGGAAATGAATACAATTTGTAGGGATTGTACCAAATGAAACAAGTTATTTATTTTTATTAAAATTAACACATTAAGTGCTCCTTAAAAATAAGCTTGATGAAAAGGGTACAAAAAAACACCTTTCTGTTTCTACGGTAAAAATTAACGTAAGCCTAAAAATTATTCTGGCTGTAAGTAACAATAATTGTCTTGCTTACAAGTACATACGTAATACGTAAAATACTGAAGAAACAAAACAATCCTTTTAAAATAATAAATAGGTTTACTGCCTAGTCAAAATTTTAATTAAGTGAGTGAAAAAATTATTTATTTTTACATGAGGAACTATTGTGACATTTTGAAGTGCACAAAATATTCCTTGTTCTCGTCTTTTACATACATCACCGCCTGCGAATTCGATATTGTATGGAATACCTAGGCCAAGTATAAAACAGATATTTCATACATTACCTACACGTTTTAGGTATTCTATACATTACCTAGGTATTGTATAGAATACCGGATTATACAGATTGCCGATAACATATATACAGGGTGTCCCGAAAAAGTGTGCAGTATTCTACCAGAGGTTTCTAGAGCTTAAAATAGGAAGAAAAGTTTATATAAACATAGGTCGACAAACGTCCCCTAACAATTTTAGACAGTTTTGTTTGGAAGCGTATGTAACAGGGACGGACTCAGGTTATTTTAGCCCCAACATTTTTTTGTGATTCTATTTTTGAAATTCAATTTTAGAATCTGAAAATTTAGGGTTTTCTACATAAAAAGGTACTCTTATTGAATATAGATAAATTGTGCCATTGCCAGATGTATCTGAAATTTCTTTAGAATGAGCTCATGGATATAATACCATTGGATGTGCGCCAGCAGTTTCAAGAAAATATGTTTTTTCAACATGATGGCGCACCTGCACATTTTGGAGGCAATGTTCGAAATTGGTTGAATGTCAATTTTCCAGACAGGTGATTAGGCCGAGGACGTCCTATAGCGTGGCCGTCACGTTCACCTGACCTAAATCCATTGGATTTATATTTTTGGGGGTCATTAAAAGACCTAGTTTACTCGACTGAAGTAAATACCCAAGAACTTTAACTTCAAAGAATCCATCAGGCTGCAAATGAAATAAGAGAAAAAGGTTTGCCACTTTTCGGGCTACGCAATCATTAGTTCGTCGAACGAGACTCTGTATCCAACAAAATGGGAATTTATTTGAACACATATTCTAAAGCTAGTTTTAAGTATATCCAACTGTATGTCTTCTTTTTTAAACAAATTTTAATTTCATTCGTAGAAAAAAATTATTTCTTTTGTTCTTGCCTAAATGTTAGCTATGTTGCAATAGAAATATGTATTTATGTAATATTTACCAATTATTAAATTAGTTTTTTCGTTGCCATGGCTATTTATTCAACAATTCATTTAAATTCGCACTGCATTTCCTATCAGGAGACAAATTTTTTAGTTTGATTTTATTCAAAAATGGCACAATTTGTCGATATTCAAGAGTAACTTTTTTATGTAGAAAACCCTACATTTTTAAATTCTAAGATTGCATTTCAAAAATTGAATCACACAAAAATTTTGGAGCTAAAATAACCTGAATCCGTTCCTGTAACATACGCTTCAAACAAAACTGTCTAAAATTGTTAATATTTTTAAATCCAGCATAAAAAACTAGGCTAGCATACCAAATTTTATGTCTTTATCTAGACACGTTTCGGAAATATTAAGGAAAAACCATCTTGTAGCGCCCTTAGGGGACGTTTGTCGACCTATGTTTATATGAAATTTTCTTTCTATTTTAAGCTCTGAAAACCGCTGGTAGAATATTGCACACTTTTTTCGGGACACCCTGTGTACTTCATTTTCGAAGTGGCGTGTGGCCAGTGGCGTGGAAAGGAAGCAAATAGCATTTTGGCATTCACATCATAAAAGCCTTCAACTAAAAGAACGCATCGTACCAACCTACTCTGGCATGCGTTCAAAGCTGTGTCACCGCATTCCTCAGCCATCAGTCAAAAGCCTGAAAGAGATTCCGTTTCCAAAGAAGCCCTTGTCATATCGAACATGATGTCACCAAAGGCGCCCTGCTTCGTGCCAGGATGAAGCGGATCTCACTATTGATTGCAGTTAAATTCCGGATTTGTGTATAAGCATAGATGAATATTGTAATAGTTTGAATAGTTCGGCACGGAGCGAGTGTTATTTAGCTCGTGAAGATGGGTGAGCTTTTAGTTTTGTTTTCTGTCGTAGAAGCTGTTGTTGTTATCCTAATTCACCGTTTAGACTTAGATATTCTCTCTAATAATGCAGATACTTCGTGCAAAAAGCGCAATTTGATTATTGAAGCTTGGACAAACGAAATGAAAAAGCTGATAGTATAAAATTCCAGGGTTGTTAGACATTACCTGTTTACTGAAGTACAAAATGTGAGACAATCCGTAGCGTTCCTATGTGCTCTCTACACTTGCGTATTTGCTAAGTGGGGCAAAGGGCCGACCTACTGGTAAAAGATGAAGATGTTTAAATACAAATAAGATGAACTTAATATTCTGACGGCTGTAGTAGACAAAGCACTGTTAGACACTTCCCGTCGACCAAAATTTCTGTTTTGGTGAACTATTTTAAGGCGATGCTAGTCGGTACTATCTTCACTCTGCGCATAACGTACTGAGCTATTCAGTACACTATACCTGCTTGTTTACTTTCAGTCTGCCTGTACCTCACGACTAGACCGTACTGGTGATTGCTAAAAACGACGAAACAACATTATATGCGGTTGGTCAGGGTTACTGACACGGGAAGCAAAGAGGTTCAATTCAACCCTACATTGTAAATAAGGCCTGTAATGCTTTTTATGAAGCCTGTCTGTCAATGCAAATTACACAGCCCCACAGAAAGTAGAGGTCAAGATGATATTTCTATCTATTAAAAACTACCCGTAGGAGGCGTGAATATCGATTTTTGGATGCCAGACACAAATTTTTATATCCACACAACTATGTAGTTTCTGAAAATAGGCCCATTGGCGTTGCAGCGAAGGACAGAAATATTAGAAAATAAAAATTGGCTCCAGATCTTTTTTTAGAAAATTTTTTTTAGGTGTTAAAGAGTTGAGGATTATAAGGATGGAGGAGTGTATATTAAAATATTTTGATGTTAGTGTCTTTATATGCTCCCAACCCCGGCAATTCTATGCACCTATTATTCATATTTCACTCATCATAGATTTACCCGAACATTTACCCTAGACGAATGCGCGTACTCCCTACGTTCCGGTGCGGACGACTAATCTATCCGTACTGCAGGGAGGAAAGAGGCAACGTAGCCAGATGCACAGTAACTACCTGTAGGACAGGACAATAATCTCGATAGACTAATTATATGGGCCTGTTTGATTGACTTGATCCGTTTGATTTCTCCGTTGTACATGCTCGTAACTGACTCTTTTCTCAAAGGATTTGAATTGCGCTGAACTTGATGAACTGATTCCATTCTGTTGTGGGCCTGTGTTATTGTTCTTCTTGTAAGTCTGAATAAGGAACACGTAAGACGTAATATTATTTTCGTCCCGTTTTAATGCCACAAACATTGGGGTCCGAATCTGTATTTTATAAAATTGGAATATTTTGTACAAGTTACCATTCGGTTTATAAATGCTTCATGGGTTACAAAATGCTATACTCATCAGCTATTTGAATACAGGGACTGATATGAGACAATAATAATAGACGCAAAAAACAGAGTTATGTTTATATGTATACCTAGATTCATGACGAACAGTTTGGTATATTTAACTGTCGTCCTATATGATTAACGGCACGCATATTAATGAGCATATTTTTTTGGCTATTGCTCGTTATTTTTACATGGACCCTGACGGTGCTGCTTCCTTAGTCAACTGATAAAACAATCACGTTTCATTCGAACGAACGAATTTTGTTAAATCTTGAATAAGTCTGTACTTTCTCATTTTGCGTCAAAATGTAAGTAGGGATCTCAAGAATACTGCAACGTGTTTTCCATAAATTGTTTTATACGTGAAAATGGAAACACGTTTCTGCTAGTAAGTTTTCTGAAAATTTAGTCAAAATGGATTACTCCATCGGTTGTTTCATACTATAGGAGCGTTACTTAAATGAGGCAAATAGTTTTGCTTATATAATTTTCTATTTTAACAGAAACTACAGGCCCAGCCTGCCCTGTACATTTTGGATTAAACAAAAATAAACCTAAGGCAGACGAGTAAGACTCCAAAAACAATTACCTGTAAGAAGTTTGTATTGTATTTTCTTCTTCTTGGTACTTGGAATTACAAAAGTTCAGTTGTTGAATAAAAAGAGTTAAGAGTTAAAATTAACAACTTTTTAGGAGAGCAAAAAGAACGGTGGGTGTTTGGATTAGCTATCGAATGATCTTATAATCCTCCATGTTTGTCTAGTCGCAAAAGAAACCTCATCTGCTAATACTGTCTACTAATGACGTTCTGGCAATGACGGTTGGCTTTTTCAAGAAAATACATGTTATTTTTTTTGGTGGTGTTACAACTTATGCGACGATGTCTCAAATTCCAAATATGTTGGAATAACAATAATCGCCTTTACATCATTAGCGGAGCATCGACATATTAGCACCCCACTTCCTGCTAGTTTGGCGAACGTGAAACACTCCTGACTATATTCTGCGGTCAACTACCTACGGGTGACCTTCATTACCTGGATGTTACCTTCCTCCTCACCGCCTGCTATATCACAGACACCACAGTTAAGCTCCATGTAGGATTTTGGATATGTCTATATAATTCCAGACACCTCGCGAGAAACTATTTTAACGACGGAGTGACGCTACTCTTCTATAGTCCATCATTTCGCCACTATCTAAAGGCTTTTTGACCACCTTAATACTTAATACTGAGATCGGGTTATCCTTAATGACACAACTGTGTAACTGTAAATATACAAACTTTCAGTCAGCCTTTTCGTTCAAGAATTGATTGATTGACCATCGTACCTTGTTTGTCTGGTGCGGCAATGGCTTGTACTTTTAAGAGTAGTTTTATTATCCACTGCAAGCTTCTGTGTCTCTAGATTTTGGATGTAGAAATCGCCTCCTTGAAACCTACTACTTTATAACTACAACAGCCTTTATTCTGGATAATAAAAGCACATGCAATTAAGGTCACATGTCCTTTTGTTTGGACAGGATTCCGAATATTTTTCATCTGATTATTTCATAGTGTGTTTAGAGATGAAAAAACAATGTTTTCAATCTTTGTTGTAATCGTTGCTTGTTAAAAATATTAGTTCAGCTATGAGATTGCATGTCAAGAAAAGCAAAGATTTTTTGATCAGAGAAAGTGATAAAAAAGTAATCATCAATTGTTCCATGAAAATGTAATATTCACACACAATTTTTGAGCTATACTATTATTTTTAACAAATGAAGAAAAATGCATAAAAAATGCACAAAAATGCCTTTTTTGACAATGTACCATGGACCATGTAACAATCAAACGAAATTAATAATACTTCTAACGACAGACTGTTGGAAAAAGGGACAGGCGACCTTAAGCATCTTCACTAAAAGTTTGCATCATTCAAAATTATTTTATTTGACCAAGTGAAAACATTTGCGGTATTTCCATATTTCGCTAATAATGTGTTGGCCATTTTGATGCCGCACACAGTGGTCCAATCACCGGGGAATATTGCTAAGGAGGTATATCATCACAAGGTAATCGTACTTGATTCCGAAAAGGTGTTAGGTATGTTCTCCTTATACCTCACACACGTTGAATAGGCGGAAGGTCTCGAGATCTAGGAGGCCAAGGCAGGAGACTGACTTGAATGAGGCAAGAGAGAAATTCTCACGGCACCACGCTGCTTACGTGTTCTTCTTGGCCACTGAGTATATGAGTAATATTAGAAATAGATGAATTGAGCTTTGAAAATTAAACTTGACATCAACATTGCTTTAATCTAAATGTTGCTTTTTAGATGGATGACCCAGGTGACGTGGATGTAACAACCTCCTTACGTAGCGAGATAGCTGCCCTACAGTATAAGCGTGATCGATTGCAGACAGACCTAGAAGAAATGCGTTCCCAGGTGAGTAAACATGCGGTGTCTAAGCCGACAAAGCCTTAAGCAAAGATTCAGTTATCGACGATAATTTTTTTATACCGAAACAGTCCCGTAGACAGAAGCGTAAAAACCAGCGCACCGCGACTGCTATGATGAGCTTAAAGAACTGGCAGCCATTGGATCTTGCACTAAAAAAGTGGGGCCAAAAATCACATGTCTAAGGGACACCTTTCTATGCCTTCTTTATTACCGCACCCCAGCATTGAAAAACCATGTAATTTTTATTTCAACACTGACAATAACACCAAAATTGTTTTTAGGTCCGGTCACGTGACCAACGCTGCTTGGAGTTGCAAGCTGAAGCTGAGCAGCTGCGAGAGCAATCTGCTAGACAGGTAGTGTTTTACGTGTGTTTTCATTCGGTAATATTCTCAACTAATATACTGGGAATGTTATGTAAATAAATGGTAAAGCTCTGCTTTAACTTGTTGATAACACCAGCACCAAATATTTTTGTAACTTTAGATGTGTTGTGTCCTTGTTAGGATACATCAGTGCGACCTCGAGACAGGTGGTAACAAGAGATGAATAGTGCTTCCTAGTTTCCCATTACTATACATGTCTGCAGAGTAAACGTTTTTAATATTAATAAATAAATTTGCATGTCATTTGATTCACCAATTTTCAGGGGGCAATAGTAGCATCATTGAAAAAAAGAGTGCACGAACTGGAAGAAAGAGAAAGAGCATGGCATGCAGAAAGAGGAAGACAAGAAATGCAGATGCAGACAGCGATACGGGAAGTGAGGTAAATATTGATTTAATATGAACTCTTTATTTCCTTAACTTAATTGAGCGAATTTATTTTTGCTAAGGTACAATGAAGAAAAAGTCAAGGAACTAGAAGCTAGAGTGAGGAATCTGGAGATGGACTTGAGCGGCGAAGAGCAAAAGAAAGAATCGGCTCGATTACAGCTTCAGGACTTTGTACGAAGGTTGTCAATCGCACTTGGGGCTGATATATCGGACTATTCACATGTGTCTCCAGAGACGTTGGTCCATAAAGCTACTGAGCTAGTACAGGTGAGACTTTAAAGAAATTACTGGGGGACATTGAAAAAAGATCATTTTTTGGATAGTTAAATAAAAGGTCTATCTTTATTTCTCTATTCATATCCACTTGTTACAAATTTGTACATGCGGTAAAGAAATTGCATAGAAAACGATAAACAATACATATCAATGAATATTAATAACTATTGATACCATCTTTATGTACTCAAGTACAAGTTCGTACATGCCAAGTACAAAATGAATTTTTTAACAATAATTTCTTCGTTTGTAAATGAAATACAATTTCTAATTTGATGAAATTTAACTAATCGCTTATTGAACAAGATGTCGCAGTTGTAATATAGGGACTTTTTTAAATAGGCGGTAGTATGATTCTGAACTATTTTCAAATTTTGATTTTATGTTGTGTAAAAATTTATTACCAGGTCCAGCACGCATAATATTAACACAAGGCATCAGGCTTTCTTTATACTGCCAGTCCACCGTACTGTTTTATATTCAAGAACCTTTATTTACAATGCCGTTAAATGTTACAACAGTATTAATTTTCATTTTAAAAATATTGCGAATATTAAAACTTTTAAATTAAAATTGAAGTCCGATCTTCTCTCGCAAACATGAATTGCCACTTATATTTTTTTTATTGGTTAATGATGGTTGATTTTAAAAAAAATCCATTTGATCCCAGTTTTGTTGGGTTAAAACAAACCGATTTAAATGTATGTACCAGTTAATGTCATCCATGTCTATGTAATTTCGTATAAATTATCAAAACGGGGTTAGATGGAAGAATAGCTCACGCTAAACCTCGCCTCTCGTAATGTACTAAATGTTTAGTGCAATAAAGACCCTTTACTATTATTATTATTATTATTATAACCATTGATATTTGGAAAGAAACTATTAGTATAAGAAGAAGTATCTTAACATAGGTTTCGCATATCAAAATATAAGTGTAATACACGTTAACAATTTCCCTTGACTTAACAGTTGCTCTGCAGGAGTCAAGTGGCTTCATTCCAATAATTAATCTGATGATTCTTTTTTGGAACACAACCCCCCCCATACCATAATGTTGCAAGCATGTGGCTATAGGCCAGTGCTATATGCTATACCTAATTTTTTACAAACATGACCAATATGTTCCTGAAAATTTCGTCTGCAATCAAAATATGTGCCGAGTAACTTACAAGAGTCAGATAAAGTAAGGTGATATACAGGGTGTTATCAAAGTTGAGTCATTTATTTTAACTGCTTGTAGGACTCGTCAAAATGGGTTGATATACCAAAAATAGTTGCATAATAAATGAAATTACACAGATTTTTTGATATTCTCGACCACTGGCAAACAATTTGGCAAACTTTTTGTGTTATTGTATATTTTTCAGTTCGAGCCTTTGGTCCGATCAGCTGTATCAGTCTTTTAATAGTGCGTATACTTTCATTTGTCTGATTATTTCTTGCCAAAAAATGGCCCATGCTTACGAACACAATGAATTAGTGGACATGCGGAAATGCTTCTTTTAAGAAATCATCCGGCCCCACGGAGGTTTGTAAATTTAGTAATTAGACTTCGTGACACATGATATTTAGAAGAACAACGAGGAGGTCACGCTGGAAGACCTTCTCAACCTGAAATGTTACAAATTGAGGAAGACGCTTTAGAAATGGTCGCAGAATCCTTAGTATACTTAGTGACAAAGAAAATAGAACGCCCAGTAAAAATGATTTATTTTGGATGAAATTTTGTCTACAGTTAGACGTAAACCAGAGGAAGTCCTGATTGCCTTTAAAAAGAAAAACACGGTATCGCCAAATTTCGTGAATCCTGGAACTGTACCTATAATATTATTAAAATATCAGTTCTCTGAGGTAGAGTATAGTTTAAACTTAAAAAGAAATCTAGTTTGGGTTGGGCTGCTGGAGTTTAGACAAAGTAGGAAATGAGGAAACAAAAAAAATTATTTTTACTAACAGGACATTTTGAGATACAATCACTAAATGGTGTATAAGTGTACGTGTACTGAGGAGATTAGCGATAAAGCTAGTAGACAATTTTTAGTACTCTTAGTGCATTTTGCATGACAGTCAAAACAAAATTATTTGCCATCTGTGCACTCTATAGGTTGAGATAAAGCTTCTTAAACATTTCAAAATATTACATACTTATTTGACTTATATCAGACTTCAATTGTGAAAAACACGGTTTTGGAATACCCATACGTTGTTGAAACCGGTCGAAAGTCCAAAAATTGCTACCAGGCATTGATTAACGGATTCTGCCTGACCCTGAAAATACCCAACCTAATGCTATATTATAGTGTCCCAAACATCATCTGAGATAAAATACGAGACGGTAACGCCATCTATGAGAATGTGTCATAGATCTTTCTCTATTTACTATTATATAATTTGAAAATGTAAGTCTAACATGGATGACGCTGTGGATAATTATACGAGCATATTCTTTTTAAAGTATGTCTATCTTGGATAATTTTTTGAAGGCGGTTTGGCTGTCTTCTAGTTAAATACGTTACGCAATGCATATAGTTGTCACGTTTACATTAAATGCCCCCGCTTTGTTTTTAAACTTAATTCCCCATAGGCTTGAAATGTCAATGAGTAGGTATTTGCAGCCTTATGATAATAAACGGCAGTTGATTTACTTTACATATTCAAGCATGTGATCACCGTATTTTTTTCAGGAAACTTCTAGATTGAAGTCAAAATCGCACAATCTTGACGACACCCTCAGAACGCTAGAAATGGACCTAAGAACTTGCAGAGAGAACCTAGAAAGAACCATTGCTGACAGAGAAAGTCTCCAAAGACAAACCGCGTCTCAAATTCTCGAGATTGACAGACTGAGACAGGTACACATTGTGCTACTGGAAACTATATACATATAGTATGCTTGATTAATTGTTACCATAATCAATTAATTTTTATTTTACTGTCCACGCCTAATGGCGAAAAATTTAGAAAATGTTTTTTGGATCACGAAAACGCACGTCACTCATTTCCGTCTTTTTTTCCCCGGAGAGGGGAACCAACAACGGCGGTGCGTGGGAATTCCAGAGTCAACCAAGTTGACGCCATTGTTTTATTGTAGGAGAAGGAGTCTTTGGAAATGCAGCAGCGTGTGATAGAGAGAGAACTGAATGAGCTAAAGGAGAAGTTATCTCTTACTAACAGGACTTTAGGGAACGCTACAGGGAGCATATCTCAACAGGAATCTATGATATGTCAACTTAGAGGCATGTATCTGATATAAACAAGAAGACTGTGTTTTGTTCTGTTTGGAAATGTGCCATAGTCTATCATAATATCGTATGTTACTGTCAATACCATTATTACAACTTTATCTGCACCAATAGCAATCTCTTTCATACGTATCTTAAGACCGCTGGTTTTAATAACAACTCGAAGAAAAAGACATGACTGATTACGAGAAGTTGATATTTTTCCACGTAAATACATAATGGTTCTTTTTGCAGATGAATTGAAAGCGAAAGATGAGAGAATCCAACGTCTTCAAGCAGATAATAAACACACCTTGGAGTCACTTGCTATAATTCTAAGCACTCCATCTAGGTTCGTCGACTCTTTAGAATCGTCCCTGAAAGATCGAATCCACGAGATCCTTGACGAGAATAAGGAAAAAAATGCAGTAATATTTGTTGTACTATGTTTTACAGTTAATTATGTCAAAACGTGTTAGATTACTTCGGTCTAGATAGCCCTGTGCAACGTCTAATTGGAAGACACGAAAACCGCACCAGTTCTGTAATTTTATCAAAATACTGATAAGTCGCTTAATAATTTTATCATAAGGCAAGCTTCTTTCAGTTTACCTAATTGGGGGAGAACGTTACCAAACTACCAGTACTCGACTGTATACCAAATGAACTGTTTTTTTTTTAATTCAAGAAACTCATAATGCATTTAACATTCGCTTCGTTCAGTTTAAGTCAGATATAATCCGAACACATAATGCGATACTTAGTTCTTTAAGTAAATGATCTATTGCCTAAAAATTACGGATGTTCACCAGATTCAAAAGCTTTCAAGGTTTTCAGCTGCTACGTATTAAAATCATGACCGGACTATGAAAGGCAGATAAGTGAGATAAGCTTGCAAAGCAGATATGCCGCACGGTACGCTATGTCTTGTATTCAGTGTTGCCTAACACTATCGTCATGAAAATCATTTCGCAGCTCTCTAATGCCGGCTTCTCACTGCGCGTGTTGACCCGCGCCACGCCGCGCCGGCACGCGCCTCGCGCAGTGTGAAGAGCTTGGCGCGGGCAGGCGCGGCGTGGCGCGACCTATCCGCTAAAAGTCGGTAACTTCAAAGGCGCGGCGCGGCGTGTACCTACCCAGACAGACGAACACGATTGAACTCGTTCATTTCATTTTGACTCGTCCTACGTTGAGGTACTGTGGTGAATATGGAGTGGCCGAATGAAACGATCGCCGAATTTTTAACTTTGTATGAAGGCGAACCCTCTCTGTGGAATTCGAAAAATGCGGAGCATAAAAACAAAAACGACCAGCATGATGCCTGGCTGCGAATTGAACAGAATTTAAAAGGTGGTACCATACCGTTACAAGAAATTAAAAAGAAAAGGGATTCTTTAATGGGAACCTATAGAAAATTAAGAAGTAAAGTTTGCCAATCAATAAAGTCTGGCAGCGGTGCTGATGAAATCTATAAGCCTGACTGGCCATTTTATAATGTGATGGCCCAATTTTTGAATGATGTGTATACTCCAAAGAAAACGAAGGATTCTGAGGTAAGTACTTTATTTACTTAAAAAATTAATAATTATTTTGCCAGGCAACCGCACCGTTTGTTATAAAATATTCTGCAAGCTGGTCTCTTATATTCTTGGCGGAAAGAGGTGCTCTTCTTGGCCGATTTTGGAGTGGTAGTAGGGAAGCAACTCCATTTTGGTCATCACGCCAAGAACCGGGCTGAATCTCGCCATCATCATTTTCGGTATCAAAGGATCCAGGAGGGGTATATATAAGTCTAGACCTTTTAGACCGTCTCAAAAAATTGTGTAACAATGCACATGTCATCACAATATCAGTTACAATATCTGGTTGTAAAAGCATGGGTTTTCTTAGTACTCTAAACACCGCAGACATAATGCCAAAGACATTTTCAACAATCCGTCGAGCTCGTGAAAGGCGGTAATTAAACACGCGTTCTTTAGATCCCTTATTATGAGTTCCAGCGTAAGGTTTCATCATATTTTCCGTTAGAGCAAATGCACTGTCTGCAACAAATACGTAAGGTAGAGGTGTTACTTTCAGCGGTAAGCAGTCTGGCGGTGGAAAACCCAATTCCTTTCTACAGATTTGTTTATATAAGTTGGTGTTTCTGTATACACCACCATCGCTTATTCGGCCCTGGCACCCACAATCCACAAAAATAAAATTGTAATCCGCGTCGACTAAAGCCATTAATACAACACTGAATGTTTTGTGATAGTTGATAAACTCAGATCCACTATGAATAGGACTTTGTATTAGCACATGTTTTCCGTCGATAGCTCCTAAGCAGTGAGGAAAATTCCAAGTTCTGCGGAATCCTTTCTCTATCCTTAACCAGTCAGATGATGTCCGTGGCAGCTAAAACAAATAGAAATATTGTAAATTATCATGAATATTTCTTATTTTTAGGTCACTGACGACATAGAAGAAATAGAAGATAACCGTGATTTAGATGCCTCTGAAGATAGTAAACAGGATGATGAAGAATCAGTTCAATTTAAAAGACCAAAACCTCTTCCTAAAAAACGTGCTAAAAATATTGATATAGAAAATAAAATGAACGAAGCATACGACTATATAAAACAAATGACTCAAAAACCCCAAATCCCGCAAGATGAATGTTCATTATACACACAATTATTGTGCAAAAAATTGAGAGGCTTACCAGAAAATACACGTGAAATAGCGATGTTGGAAATTGATAGATTGATTTTCAATCTGAAGCAAAAATAACTATCGTCAAACCCACATGCACAAATACTAATCAACCCACCACAGCCCACGAGTTTTGGACATTCCGGCAATCTCTACTATCAGCCATCCACATCCTACCATCCATATCCTTCTCCACAGCAATCCCCAACCTATCATCCATCGCCTTCTTCACAGTCATCCCCAAACTATCATCCATCGCCTTCTCCACAGCAATTCCCAACCTATCATCCATCGCCTTCTTCACAGTCATCCCCAAACTATCATCCATCGCCTTCTCCACAGCCATCCCCAACCTATCATCCATCGCCTTCTTCACAGCCATCCCCAACCTATCATTCATTATCTTCTCCACAGCCATCCCCAAACTATCCATCTCCACAGCTGTCGCAAGTCGAAACATCAGCTTCGCAAAGTCTATTAAAAGATTTCTATGAAGAGGAGGGTAGTAATTTAGTTTAAATGGATGATGTCAATTTCTATTTGTTTACGATTTGAAAAAAATAAATGCTTAATTCTACTACTTACTTTTATTTCTTGTGATAGTTCTTTTATCAATGCTTTACAAACGTCCGTGACACAACTTGAAACTGTTTGGATAGATACTTTGAAAAGATATGAAAGGCTTGTGTAACTATCTCCGGTTGCTAAAAATCTGAGAGCAATTGCAAACCGTTCTTGTACTGGAATACATTTTCTCATATGGGTATCTTGTTTTGCAATGATAGGGCCTATTTTATTCATTAGATAGTTGTAATCTTCTGGTGCCATTCTACAGAAGTTCTCAAATTTTCTGCTCGGTTCTTTAACAAAATCCGATAGCATATCTGATCCATTGTATCTGAAACAAAAATACAATAATTTTTACTAAATTTTCCGGCAGCAAAGTTTCATTTTAAAACGCGAGTTATGTTGCCGTCATTTAGCACTTTATTAATTAATATAATAATTGCATTGTATTCCTTTTTGCTAGCTCATCACTTTTGGTTTATATTAACGATTGTATCTTAATTATGAGTCAGTCATTCAATCTCAGTCACAGCGAACACACACACTGTAATTCCGGTTCGGTCCATGTAAACTATTGTTGGAATCAAATAAAGTTTTTTAAAAACGAAGTTTGAAGTTCCGACTACATAATTGGCGCAGCCGCAGTAGCATTCCCAAAGGGATTTTCGCCGATTAGCCCTTGAGTCCGAACTCTTAATTGGGAATCACGAACCTCCGTGACGAGCCGGTACAACTGAAGAAAGAAGAAAGAATTTGGACCACAAGTGCCCTTTGTCCTGTTGAAGTCAACGTCCACCTGAGGAACCTAGGCCAAGAACGGGATGAAGTACTGGACCTATCAGTAAGTGCTCATTGTATCCTTATTTTTTCATGAGTGACTCACCCCGACCTGTAAATCCTTTCGAAGGTGATAGTGCAGATCAAATCGCTAATCGCATAGCAAGCTTAGAATTAGGACGTAGAGAAATAAGACAAGCAAACGAAACTATAGAAAGAATAATGACGACCCCCAGTAGAAATAGTACCCCCCAGTTCGACATAAAATTACTCGAAATTGTCCCAGAATTTGATGGGAATCCCTGTAGACTATATAGATATTTAGAAATAAGTACAGATTTATTAAATAACTATTGGAACACTGACGATACAGTATGTGTCCAAAACAAAATACTGCTGCATGGCATTTTCTCGAAATTGACTGGTGCTGCAGAGCAAGTATTTTCTCTTAGCGGTTCCACCGACTGGCACAGCATAAAAAATTTGCTAATTGCTCATTTTGGTGATCAAAGAAACGAGAGTAGTCTTATTTCAGATATGACTGCCCTTAGACAAAATTCTAATGAAAGCTCCTTACAGTTTTACTCTAGAGTTGTAACCATGCTGAATCATTTGCATAACTATATAAATATTCATGAAACAGTTGATGCTATTAAAACAAGTAAAAAGGCACTGTATGATAGTCATGCATTGCATACACTTTTAGTAGGTTTAAAGGAGCCACAAAGTTCCATGATTCGGTCGATGAAACCTAAAAATTTGGCAGAAGCTCAAGCTTATATTTTAGAAGATAATAACATTAGATATTTACAAAAGGCTGGTGCACATTCAAATTTCAAAAAGCCACCTCAGCCTGCCCTTCCATCCAAACCACATTTTCAAAATTTGTTTAAGCCTCAAATGCAGCCTATGAATCAATTTAGGCCTCAGCAAAATTTCAATTATCAGCCTCAATTCCCAAGAGGACCAGTTCCGATTCAACCTAGACAAAATCCTCTTCCACAAAAATTTCCAACAAACGCACAAGTTTTTGGCAATAGACCTAATGTTAATGTTTGGCGTAATCCGCCTAATCAGGGACCTTCCTACAGGCCTACTCCTATGAGTGGTGTTAGTAGCATCAATAGAAATAAGAATTTCCAAAATAATTATTTTAGGCCTTCTGGCCCAAGGAACTTTGCTTCTCAAGAATTACATAACGTTGAGAGTGATCCTTATGATCAAAATTTTGTAAACAATCCTTACGATGACTATTACTCGGAATATTGTCAGGATAGTGAAAATCAGTATGACTGTTCTGATCTATATTACGAAAACCCTGATGAGACACAAAATGATGTTTCTGAAACTGGTCAAAAGCCTGATGAAGAAAAACAAAATTTTCAGATGG